CATAGGAAATTTTCTAACCACGCGGGCAGTCGGCCGCGGAAAAACATGGCGGACTGGCAAGAACTAGTATGGCAGAGGTTCGTAAATACGGACATTTGTATGATTCAGCTCTCAGAGATCACCGTGATCAACATGTTGTTAATAATTCTTGGAGAGAACTAGCTCGCACTGTCGGAAAAGACGAGGACGCTGTTAAAAATGCTGAAATGCCGTGTTGTAAACAGTAATTTCTACTTCTACTACGGTGTAGTGTTGGATGCACGCCGTAGAGCTCCATGCTGCCCCGTTAAGTTTGGGAGAATATTGGCTCACCGCAGAGACGAGCCGCACGAACCATAAACGCTGCAAGTTGTGAAGCGCGTTCCATCCGCGAGCCGCATCACCAAGCGGAAAGTGAATGCGTCAAGCATAAACCAAGCTTCAGGGCAGACCCTGAGAAGGTCAGTGCAGTCACTCAGTGGCCCACTCCAACTTCTCGAAAGCAGTTACAAAGGTTTCTGGGCTTCGCCAACTTTTACAGGACGCTTATAAGGAACTACAGCCAGACCGCCACCTCGCTGACAAACCTGACCTCTGTTAATCGCCCTTTAGTTTGGACCTCAGAAGCCGAGGCTGCCTTCCAGACCTTAAAGAGGAAGTTCACTAACGCCCCTGTGCTCCACAGACCTGACCCGCAACGACCGTTCACCCTGGAAGTGACACCTCTGACACCGGCGTACTCTCTCAGGTATCTCCCATGGATAATAAACATGACTTGTGTGCTGTTTAGTTTTCCAGCAGAGCCCTGTAGCTGCTCCTCTATGACCCACGTCTCTTTCACCGTACCTTTATGCTCGGCTGCGAGCTCAGCGTTGTCACAAGGTTACGCAACGTGTCAAATCCCAGTCTGATGTTCAAACGCCTCGTTTACACAGCTGAGATGTGTGGTAGTCTCCACAATCCTGACTCGATCTGATTGGTCCGTGTGAGTACTGGACGTAGAAGGCTGAGACAAACTGTCTGATGAGAGATCAGGCTGCAAAAGAAAGAGGTATTCACTTTTACTCATTCAACAATAAAAACATCAGTTTGTAATGAAAAGATCCAGAAGGAACGTGAACAGTAGCAGCGCCTAAGGGAGCTGGGTGTCTATGAGCAACTGGGGGGTCATTACCTCGGGGGCGGGAGCAAACACCGTGCTGGATGAGCTCTACAGCGTGCTGGATGAGCTCTCATAAAAGCTACAATCTGAAAAACCAGTCTGATCAGTGGGATGGCCTCGGTAGTTCATGAAGATGTCTGAAACAAAACAACAGACGTTTTTTTGAGTTGTAATGAAATGTGGGGGCTTGTCCGGGATTTGAACCTAAGACCCACAATGATTTCCTTGAAACACATGGTTTGTAAAAACAAAGTGTATAAAATTGTCTAAATTTTCAGGATCTATAAAAATTTAACTGATGGTGTTTTTCTACGTTTCCACATATATGACATAAAAAAGTAAACACAAATATACTTTTGTTTCTCATTCTTCCAGGAAAGCCCACACTTGGATTAAATATTACGACTCTCGTGACACCCAAAGGTCAGAAGTCAACAACTATCACCTCTTTGGTAATCACAGAGTTTCCTATGTGGTGGCCAGCAGAGGGCGACATCTCTCTTCCCACAGATCTTTTTTAAATCTTTTTTTAGACTTTGGCTGCATTTTAAAAGCACAAATAATTATCAAGTCATTTGTTTCTACTAGCAAAGCATTTTTTCATTAACGTGTCAAATCCAGCCCATCTCAGCTGGGAATGCATCCCAGATTACCTGGCATGTCCATAAATCATCCAGGTTGGGCTGCAGTGGAGTCAGGCCTGGCTGAATGATGCAGTGTTACAGGTGTACGCTGAGGAAGGACAAAATAAATAAAGTTTAGCACAAAAAAACTGAAAAGAGCGTTTTCATTTAAACTTTTACACCGTCACATGCCACGTGTCCGGTACTGTTTCCTAAACCAACATCACTACCTCTGAACGTCTTTAAATCTATTTCAGGCTTTTTATTATTTAAACAACTTTACTGATGTTTATTTATGGTTTGAAACAGTCGCTGTCAAGGTGAGTGTTTAAGATATTCCAGCATAATTTACTGACAATTCATGCTAAAATCGATTTTTACCTCCTAGTCTAACAAGTCTCATGGGCAGTTTTTCACCACTACTCTAAACATAACTTTAAAAATCAAGCATGTTAGAAAGGTTCATTTAAGTTTGTCATATTTCAGGAAACTTTTCTGCTCTTAATCCATCTCTAGTTTGCAGAGTTGCAAAAGTCACGCATCACATTTAAGATTCAGGTGCTGAACTTGTTCCTCACTCAGCAGAAGCTGATCCTGAGGCATTACTGAGTTTGCATGTTTCTCCATGAGCGTGTGAGGGAATTCACCCGATGCATTTAGAGATGTTTAACTGATTTCAGATGAGATTATTACAGTAAAATAATTTACTGTGATGTTAAAATCTACAACCGAAAATGAATAATTAATTAATTATTAATGTCATCTAATCAAGCTAAATCTATCAAAATTACAGCAGATTTTATTTTTAATGTTTAAACTGGTTTCAATAGAAAATGCATAAAAATTGGTACTAAAAGGCTGAGGCCTTTCCCCAGAGCAAGCTGGGGAAAGGTTCTGATGGCACACAAAACCCTCCAGATAAAAACTGCTTTCTGCTCGTCATGGACCCAAGATGCTCTTCTGCTCTCTCATATCACTCTCACTACATCAGCGGCATGTCTCCATGACTATCCAACCATACATGTCCACAGTTGCACCAGTCTCCTGTTTTTTCATAAGATTTGAAATATTTGCTTTAAAACCTAAATGTGTCAGAGTTTAAAAAACAGTAAAGATGTGTCCGTTGAACAAACACGATCTGTGAAATGTGACCACCGGTAAAAATTCCTGCTTAATCTCTTCTAGGTTCAAATGACACAAGAATCCTCCTGCTGGGAAAACCTGGAGGTGGGAGGAGCAGCCTTTGAAACATGGAAAGCGCTTCAAGGTGACTGTCACGTTGTTGATGATAAATAAACACTGGAACAACGACAACACGAGGAGCAACAGGGTTGGAGGACCGTTGGTTAACGTTAGTCCGTGCTGCAGTACAAGCAGTGTTGGGAGCACTTTTCAGTGCAGCCATAGGTTTTGGTTTTGATGAAGCAGTTTGTGCGTGCACTGGTGTTGTTGGAGGTCTTGTAGGAGCTGCGGGGCTTAGGTGATGTCAGCTGTCCACATTGTCATTGTGTTGACGTGTGGTCAGTGATCACACAGACAACGTTTGATATAGATCCGATCATGCGCATGGGAGTTATTACGTCAAGGAATGTAGCCAGATGCTGTTTAATCACATGCATGTAGATACAGGTTTTTTAGAGGTGATTTCATATTTCACGACTTGACATTGATTCTTTGTCGTTTAATCAGACAAGCTGTTGAATTGTAATGATGTCATAAATAACTGCGTACTTTTAGTGGGAAACAAATATTGCAATTGTTTTAAAATGTTATTTACAAATGACAAAGTCAGGTAAAAATTACTTGGATTAAATAGACCTGAGAGTGGTTATTTTAACTATTATTTCAGTCAGATCACTTAATTCAAATGATAAACAAATTACAAATGTGTAAATTTCATGAAACAAGAAAAACAATGCCCCAAAAATGTGTTGTGTGATTTAAGCTGAAAACTGGTAACGTATCATAAATATTAATGTCATAAGTCACTTTGTTTTTCTGTCCTTGAAACTTAAAGAGAAACTAAACAGTTCAGCTAGACAGAATGAGACATCACAACTCCAGTTCTTATCTAAAAGGTCTTCACCCTGAGTTCATCTCATCGGCAGCATGGATAGTAAGTTACATGTACTTTTTTTTGTTTGTTTGTTAATAAACCAGAATCTCAAAGAAAGAGGTCTTCTGATAGAGCTCTGAAACAACTCTTCTAAGACTGAGGAAGTGAGCAGAGAGGCAAAAGAACTGCAGGGGTGAAAATAGCACATTTAGGCAGCTTTGGCCTTTCTGAGTGAATTTCAAACACAAAATCAATGCAATGCCAACTGCCTCAGACAAAAAGTGGCTGAAGTTGATCCAGAAAGTTTCTAGATGTTGCCAGATGACATCACACGCATCTTCAAATGCATCTTTTAGCAACATATAATCAGAGGTTACAATAAAATGCCTGGCCTAATATTTTAGAGGAATAGACTTATGGATGATATAACATTGTCTACTTCAGGAAAATCTCAGACAAAACTGTTTCACATAGAAGTGACTTAGATAGAAGCATCCTGCAGGTGGCGCTGTTGTCAGATCGCAGCTGAATTGTTTCCCAAATACAGTGTGTCATTAGTGCACAACAGTGGTTCAATGACCTCTCCCTGTTATTTGTTCTTTAGCAACAGCTATTTTGTTAAGTTAGTTAGATTGTGCAATTTACATCACAGGAAATAATGTTTACAGAGGTTAATACCTGTATCACCTGTCTAAAGGAGATATACAACTAATCAAGTTGCATCACACGTTTAATGTGTTCATTGATAAGAAACTGCATTAATATGTTGAATTTATAGATACTGAAAAAGTAAAGGTGCAGATCTGTGCGCCATTCAAAAGAATACTTAAAAAAAACCTGAATGTCTCACCTCACCAGAAAGGCACCATGGGTGACCTAGGGGACCACTGCTTTAGATGACTCACCTGACTGGATCACCTGTTCACTCACTGAATGTGGGCTGCATGGTGACGCAGATGTTAGCACTGTTGCCTCGCAGCACGAAGGTCGCAGGTTCAAAACTCGGCTGTGGTCTTTCTGCGTGGAGTTGCGTGTTCTCCCCATGCATGCATACATATACACACACATACATATATATATATATATATATATATATATATATATATATATATATATATATATACACACACATATATATATGTGTGTGTATATATATATATATATTATGTGTGTGTTTCTCTCAGAGCTCTTCAAAATCAGTTCACCTATGTATAAATACGTGTTGACTGGTTGTAAAACTAATCATCAGGAGACAGATGAGAGCTGTTTTTTATCTTAAAACCACTTAAACATGAAAGTGATCCCTGCTCAAATTGTTTTACAAAATGTCTGAAATGAGAAGAGTTCCTTATTTTTGCTCATGTCAATAATTATTAATGTCCTTGTCTTTTAAAATGTGTCAATTCCAGAATATTGAGTTAAAACAATAATGAAACATTTGTAAGATGATCCATAAAAAAATTGAATGTTCAGATCAGTGCAAATGAACAAAAATCATCCAAACTCTAACTGCAACAGCTAAATACATGCAATCACACCATACACTTGGTATAGTAAAATCACCAAATGGAGCAACTCCAAACAAAACAGATCAGTGTTCCCATAAACCTCTAGATGTGGGGAAATGAACATTGCGTTTTAGACCAGGAGGTGACGCTAACGGACAGGAAACAGCTGCATCGGGATGATGTCTAGTGAAGATGTGTTTTGTAATAATTGGGGTGATTCCTGCAATGTTTTCAATTTCCATTATAGCTGGGAGAGAAAAAAACACTGAAACACCTCAACAAACAGAGGAAGCATGTGAATATGAGCTGTGGAGCAAAAATAAATAGCATAAAGTTATAAAATATTCTACAAACTGTGTCTGCTTATTCATCCATCCACCGTCAGGTAAACTGTTGTTTCTATGTTTGCTAGTTTTCACAGTGATCTCATGTCTAAGCAGTAATTGTTTCTGCAAAATAAATTACATATATGAACATTGATACTAACGATGAATCGACCAGCATCATCGTCTGCGGACCAGAGGGAGGAGCTGCTGCAGGAAAACAAAGTGATAAAAAAGAGTTTCATTTTCAGCATAAATGCACAACTAATTTCTTGTAATGTTTCTCATTGTTCAGTCAGGAATGAGTTTTTTTAGACTCTACCAGCAATGTCAATCACACACACACACACACACACACACACACACACACACACCCACACACACACACACAGCCTGACTGACATTGTCAGATTAGTGACAAGATGAATGCTGATGGACATCTTGTATTCATAGTGTGGGTAGTTGTACAAAAAAAATACTTTTTCAATTTTTGTTTTGCAAAAGTCAGTCTAGACCTGATTCATGTCAAATACAAGTGTATCATAACGGTCTACAAAGCACATAAAGGTAATCATATAAAAACCCTCAAACACCGTTTATAGCAAATAACTGGTGACTGAAACCATTTTTGATCATCTTAACTAAAACAGACCAGTGCCCTACACAGTCATGCTTTCAACGCAGTCCTTGAGCACATTTGTCAAAACAGCATCTTACAGAATGGCGGTGACATTTATGGTGTTAGTGCTCAAACAAGCCGATCTGTTGCTGTGATTGGTTCTGATTCAAAGTGGACCCAGAAAAGCCTGGGCACGTCTTCACAGAGTTGTCATCACTGTTTCAAACAAACCCGGAACAAAATGAAAATATTGGATTTTGGAAAGCTTATTTTTAATCAAATTTATTGACTTGATTAATGGTTTGGCAACTTTTTTTATGTCAGTCAGCAGGTTTTTGCTCATTTGAGATCAAAGTATAATGTCTACTGAAATTACTAATAAAACAATGACTGCATTTGTATATTTAATTGTATTTAAATACTTTATTTGCTTTACTCTGAATCCCTTTAAGTCAACATTAGCTGTTTGTTGCAGGCAGGAAGAACCAGAGTTACTGGTTCATTGGTGTGATGAGAGTTGTTTTGGGAGGAACTTCTAACAAGGGCCTTTGTGTGCACGAAGAAGAATCTGTTTCCAGACGGCAGTCTGCTCACCTGGTGAAGACTCTTCATCTGCAAAGGTAAGACATTCTCATTTAATAAACATGAATTTAAAAGTTAATGCATTCTACAAAAGTAGACTAATTCCAAGGTCTTTGGACTGTAGCAGATGTATTTATAGGGTTTGGTATAAAAGCAGCATTATTGGCTCTGATCCAACTAAAGAGTGACTGTCAGCCTTAACCCTCTACATGCACTCACTGAAATGCCAGTTTTATTATAATTTATATTATTTACTATAGTTTAGGATATAAACTGTTATTTACATTTTTTACATTTTCAGGCAGCAAATGAGGCTTATGTGGTTTCTTTCTTAATTGTAGTTAAATAGATCTAAAAGGTGTTTATGTAAATATACAAGAAAATGTAAATAGAGAGAAGTGTTTTTAAAGTAATTTATAATAATAATAATAATAAACTAGAGTAGAGATGACATTTAAACCTCTTCCTGATTCAAACTCGGGAGCATTTTCAGCATTTTGCAGGTTTAGATTCTTAAAGTGACAATTCAGATTTTTAAATGCGTTTCTGTTGGAACGTTCTAAATAACTGTCCATGACCTGATACAGACAGCTATAAGAAGTTTCAGAGAAAGATTCAAACAAACTGTTTTAACATGTAACGTTGGCCAACGGTGATTATTGTCATTTTAGTCACAAACAGTGTGTTTACATGGAGAGTCAGAGACTTAAATCCATAAAGCTATGACCGGATAGACCAGGATAAAGACTCACACTCTTCAGGTATTAGCTCCATTATTGCCATGGCTCGAGTTAGAAGCATGTAAACACACTGAAGGACACAGTCGTAGTTTATGCTAGCTCTAATTTAACCGCAGCATAGATTGTGTTTAATATTATTATTCTGGCTGAAACATCAATACATTCCTGCCTGAAGTTTCCCAGGCTGCACCAAATGCTAACTCTAGCTACTGCTGCTAGCATTGATAGATGTTAGCTTGTCACCTTGATCCGTTTCTCCAAATATCTGCTCATTCAGAGAGCTGTCTACATACTCATTCATCCTAAACTCATCTTCTAAGCTGTGAAGCAGATTTCTATTAGACCATCTGCATCTGCAGCCTGATTCAGCTCTGTGTTAAAGTTTAAATATTAAAAGTTAAAAGCATGAAACACAAAATTAATCTCAGGTTCACATTTTCATGCAAGCTTGTCACATAATGGCTGTCTTCAACTTGATCCTGTGGTGTTAATGTCTCAGAAATGTAAAACTCTGTCGCAGCCTGAAGAGCAGGAATGTGTGTTGAGATGTTTGTATTTTCCACATGGTCTCCATGTTTTCTGTTTTTCAGTTAACATTGTTAGTCATGTCGAAAGGTCGCATCAAACTTGTCTCCAGCTCTTGCAATAACTGACAGATGATGGTTGTAGACTAGATGCTACAAGAAGTCCAGAAATGGTAATGATGTCCTTCTTCAAACAGAACCATGGCCTCTGTGTTGTCTGAGGAGCAGTTTCTGTGTGCCATCTGCCTGGACAGCTTCACCAACCCCGTGTCCATTCCATGTGGCCACAATTACTGCCTGGAGTGCATCAACCACCACTGGGACACAGGAAGTAATTTAGATTGTCCACTATGCAAGGAGGTCTTCCATAACCGTCCACAACTCAGGGTAAACGTTGGCTTAAAGGACATCACCGAGCATTTTAAAAGGTATGCTGTTGTACCGCTCATGCATTGTTTATGTTCATGTTTATGTATTTAGCAGATGCTTTTGTCCAAAGCGACTTTCAAGTGATAATCGGCATGTTGCCCTTGAGGCTAACAACAACAATAACAACAACAACTTGACATCAATCATGGAGAGGAGGGAACAAGGAGTGGACAGTAGAGAGGGGGAAGGGTGCAGGGAGGGTTTTCGTTTAGAAGCTGCTCTCTGAAGAGCAGGGTCTTCAGGAGTTTCTTGAAAATTGAAAAGGAAGCCCCTGTTCTGGTAGTGCTTGGTAGGTCATTCCGCATTTGTGGAACAATGCATGAGAAGAGTCTGGATTGTCCTGAGCGTGGTGTAGGCACTGCTAGCTGATGATCCTGTGATGACCGGAGCGGCCGGGCCAGGTCGTAAGCCTTTGCAAGAGGATTCAGGTAGATGGGAGCTGTACCATCTCGGACTTTGTATGCTAGTGTTAGCAATTTGAATTTGATGTGTGCTGCTAGTGGTAGCCAGTGGAGCTCAATGAGCAGAGGGGTGACGTGTGCTCTTTTTGGCTGATTGAAGACCAAACGTGCCGCTGCGTTCTGGACCATTTGAAGAGGTCTCACAGTACAGGCCGGAAGACCAGTTAGAAGGGCATTGCAGTAATCAAGGCGGGAGATGACAGTAGATTGCACCAGGAGCTGGGTGGCATGTTGTGTTAGGTATGGTCTGATCTTTCGTATGTTATACAGCGTAAAGCAGCATGAACGAGCAACAGAGGCAACATGATCTTTAAAAGTCAGGTGTTCATCAATCACAACACCCAGATTTCGAACTGCCTTTGAATGAGCCAGAGATAGGAAGTCATTTTGGATTGAGATATTGTGCTGTATGGATGGTTTTGCTGGGATGACAAGTAGTTCAGTTTTAGAGAGGTTGAGTTGGAGATAGTGGGATTTCATCCACTTTGATATGTCAGAGAGACCGTTTGATATTCGTGCAGAGACAGTGTGGTCGTCCAGTGGAAATGACAGATAGCTCTGGGTGTCATCTGCATAGCAGTGGTAGGAGAAGCCATGTGATCGAATGATCTCACCCAGTGAGGTGGTGTATATGGCAAAGAGAGGAGGTCCTACTACAGAGCCCTGGGGGACTCCTGTGGCAAGATGGTGCACGGTAGAGGATTGTCCAAGCCAAGATACACTGAATGATCGTCCTGTGAGGTACGATTCAAACCAGGCGTGTGCTTTCTCTGTGATGCCCATGCTAGAGAGTGTGGACAGTGCATTTGACACTGTCAACCATGGCTTAACCACGGTTGACAGTGTCAAATGCAGCCGATAAGTCGAGCAGGATAAGCACTGAGGATTTGGAAGTCACTCTAGCTTCTTTTAAGGATTCAGTCACTGCTAACAGAGCAGCTTCAGTGGAGTGGCCCTTTTTGAACCCAGATTGGTAAGGGTCAAGCAGACAGTTTTGTGGGCGGTATTCTGTGATCTGCTTGAAAGCCACCCTTTCAATGATTTTGGACAGAAAGGGAGGAGAGAGATAGGTCGGTAGTTCTCCACATGATTTGGAGGAGGAGATGGGTTTTTTTTTTAGCAGTGGTTTAACCTGAGCATGCTTGAGAGAGGTGGGAAATGTACCGGATGTCAGTGAAGCATTGATCACATGTGTGACTGCTGCGGCTACTGTAGGAGCAATAGCTTGGAGCAGCTTAGTCGGAATGGGGTCGAGTGGGTGGTAAGTAGGGCGGCTGCACGTGAGAAGCTTGGACACAGTTCTCAGTGAGGGGAAAAGAGGAAAATGAAGCAGTAGGGCTTGAGATGGTTGGGCTAGAAGGAGTTTGTGGTAGCGAATGTTCAGGAGTGGCCAGTTGAGTAAACTGTTTGCTTATAGCTGCCACTTTGTCAGTGAAGAATGAGGCAAAGGGGCAGCTGATAGATTGTTGGTAGGAGGTGGAGACAGAGGGTTGAGCAGAGTTTTGAATGTCGACAATAGTTTCTGAGAGTCAGTAGAGCTGAGAATTTTGTCAGAGTAGAAAGCTTTCCTTCCATCAGTGATGCTGGCGGAGAATGAGGACAGTAATTCATGAAATTTCAATTGATCATCAGGATCAATGACCTGCATTGCAGATCACATTCTCAGTTAAGCTACTGACAGGACTGTTCTGTGTTCGACTGACAGGTCTCTGAAGAAAAGAGCAGGAAGTCGGCCGGTGCCAGCAAAGAGAAGCGTGTCAAAGCAGTACTCCAAATCTGACGACATACCTTGTGACATCTGCAACGAAAACAAGATAAAAGCCGTCAAGTCGTGCCTCGTCTGCCAAGCGTCTTATTGTGAAACACACCTGATGCCTCACTTGAGGGATTCTGTGATGACGAAGCACAGGCTGACGGACCCGGCCACCTTCAGCACACGTCATCTCTGCAGGAACCACAACAAGCCCCTGGAAATGTTCTGCAAGAAGGACCAGACGCCGATTTGTTCAAAATGCACCGAGACGGACCACAAACACCATGAGGTCATCCCCATGGAGAAGGAGAGCAGGAGGATCAAGGTGAGGAGGGGGAAATGTCATGATTAATCTCAGCAAACCTTTAGATTGTGTTGGTCTAGTTGGAATAAGTTGTTCTCACCTACAAACTTTACAGATGGACATGAAGAAGATTCAAGCAGACGTTCAACAGATGATCTTGTTCAGGGTCAAAAAGAGCGAAGAGATCAAGAAATCCAAGGAACTGGACAGAGTAAGACATTAGCTTATACCCAGTCCCAGTGAATTGTACAGGAAAAGTTGAAAAGGAGACTAACACATTTACTAGTTTTGTCGTTGTAGCAACCTTCACACCCATTAAAGACTGATGACACAATTCATTTTTGTTAGGAAACATAGAAATAAAGCTCTCTGTTGATTGTTTCATTGAGGATTTGTGGGCTTTAAATCCCTTGGTTGATGCCCGTTTGCAGATGAGTAAAGAACGGCAGATACAGACGAGTGTGCAGCTTGTTACAATGGCGATAAGCACCATTGAGAGAAACCAAGCTGTGCTGGTGGAGGGGATCGAAGCGAAGAATGAAGCAGCCGAAAGACGAGCGGAGGAGCTCCTGGAGGAGCTCGAGACGGAGATCTGTGAACTGCAGAGGAGACGCAGTGAGCTGGACTTCCTGGAGAACATCAGAGACCCTCTGCATCTTCTGCAGGTTTGACACACTTTAAATATTATTTCTAGCTTCTGAAAAGATAATTCATGTAGTGAGAATGGATTAGTTCAGATATTTAACCCCTTAACAACATAGCAATAATAGACTAATAAATTTGGTACATGCCACCTGTAGATACTCCACTAGGGGGCAGTAAACCTGTCCAAGATTGAATAAAACACCATCTGGATGCTTTAACCCCAAAAGGGGTTTGATGCTAGTTTGCAACACTAGTAAATGGGTTTAAATGCATGACCTTTAAATAACCTTTTGTGCTCCTGATTTTTCTGTTTCAGAGCTTCTCGTCCTTGAGCGCTCCAGTGTCTTCAAGAGACTGGTCAGAGATCAGTGTCGACCAGGACTTTTGTACAAAAACCATGAGAGAGTCCTTTTCCAAGCTGTTGGAAATATGCCGTGAATTTGAACAGAATCTATGTGCTGAAGGTCAGTGACCACTGAATTAGGCCACAATGTTAGTGACAGTGTGACTGGATCTGTACGGTCAGCATGAATCAGTCATCAAGTAATCGAGATAATACAGATCCCAAAATCAAAGGTGCATAAACAGAGCTACACGTGTGGAGAATCATCTGATAAGGGAGGTCATGAGAGCTGCAGGAGACAGGTTCTAGCTGTCTGGGTTCTTCCTGCAAATGTTTAGGTGAGCCATGAAGTGGCTTTCCATCTAAAGGACTTTGAGTTGTTAGATTGAGGATCTACGTAACATGCTTTTATTTTGGTAGGCTACTTCAATTTAACAACAGATTGAATTTGCTTTGCTGAATATTTAGTTTATTTCCAACACATATTGTCACAATTTGTGGTTGGTGTGGGACCCAAAGGTAAAGCAGGTAAAGGTTCAAGGAGGCAGGAGATGACGACTGGTGAATGAAAACAGGATGCTTATTTACTGAGTTGTGTTTACCTAACAGCAACAGGTGAGCTGATGGGAAACAGGTGTAAAAATGTAACTGAGGAGCTGGGGGGGGGGGGGGGGGGGGGATCAAACAAACCCAAAGATATTCAGACGTAAACACTGAAATGCAATTGTAGAAATGTAAATATTTAATGTCATCATGTAAACAGGGATTTGATTCAGATGAAGCTAAATATAGTTCATTTGATTCTAAACATTTAGATTGAGTCATATTTATTTAAAATAAGTAGTACAGACTAACATTTAAACTTTCTAAATTGAGATTTAATTGTGTATATTAAAATTGTAACTATTTAGATTTGAACAATTTCAATGTTAAATTTTGATTTCACTTTATATATTCAGATTTTCTTTAGAATATTTAGATTTAACTATATATTTAGATTTGATTCTGTATTACCTTCCACACTTAAAGCTAAATAGCTGTTTAATTCACATTTCAAACCACACAACATAGCATTAAACATATTTTAAGTTGGTTTATAAGTTAAACTGATTTTCTAAAGCTGTCATTACACGTGATTTCACTAACCCTTTCAGTTCTTAGGGTTTTATCTCTTTTATAAAATAAAATTTAATGTTTTTGTTTGTTCACAGAAATAAGCATGCTGAGAAAATATGCAGGTAAGTGATTCAAACAAAGAAAACAGAACAATTATAACTCAGCAGATACATTACACAGTTCAGTTATCTGTGGTTTTGATTCCATTCATTCATTCATTCATTCATTCATTCATTCATTCATTCATTCATCTCTAGTGGATGTGACTTTGGATCCTAAGACGGCTTCTGGGTGGCTGGTTTTATCCTCAGATGGTAAAAAGGTACACTGATAACAAATCTGACTTCAAACTAACTTTAGCTCTCAGCCTGCTAGTGTACATGAATCTGGTTATGTTGGTCCACAGGTGAGCGTGAGCTCCCAGAATAGAAGACCCTCGCTGCTGAATGACCCCCACAGCTTTGACTCCTGTGTTGCTGTTTTGGGGAAGCAAAGCTTCACCTCTGGGAAACGGTTCTGGGAGGTTAAGGTCAGAGTTCAAGATACAAATACTGATGACAAATGTAGGAAGTTCTGTTAAACATGGATGAATGTAAATGCAATTTATTAAATAATGGTAATTTAAAAACAAGTTAAAATATGATATTTGTGAGAAATGTTTGAACAGAACTCAGAATCAGTTTTAGAATAAGATCAGTCTTCTTACATCTACATGTATGTTTCTAGCCAGGTCTTCGTTTTCCTGGTCTACAGTGTTGCTTTCATCTCTGCCTCACTACTACAACTTTCCCTGAACTCTTTGTGTTTTAGGTTGGAGATAAGACAGACTGGGATCTCGGAGTAGCCAGGGAGTCCATCAACAGGAAGGGCTCCATCACCGTTCGTCCTGACAATGGTTACTGGGCAATCTGTAGAAGAAACGGTGAGAGTCTTCGTGCCTGTGCCGGACCCTCTGTGACCCTTAACCTCTACACATCTCCTCAGAGAGTTGGCATACTGCTGGACTACAAAGAAAGATCAGTGACTTTCTACAACACAGAAGCCAAGACCCATATCTACACTTACAAAGAATGTGCCTTCACTGAGCCTCTGTACCCTTACTTTAATCCCTGTCTCCATGACAACGGCAAAAACACTGCACCACTGGTTATCTGTCCAGTTGAAACTAAAGCTAACTGAAGTCTGAAAACATGTTATGTGACATAATAAGTGCTATTGACCCTGTTCCAGAGTGATGAACGCATCAGGGTAATGATGAAGGGATGCATCCATCATGCCTAATGTCTATACTGTACAAGCCTGTGGGGGCAGTGTTATGATCTGGGGTTGCTGCAGTTGGTCAGGTCTGGTTCAGCAACAGGAAGTGCTCCAAGAATGAGGTCAGCTGACTACCTCAGGACAATAGAAAACATCAAGTGTGAGGTAAGGACAAATAAAAGTGCCTTGATCCTCCTTTTATCTTCCATACCTTACATTGTTAGTAACGATTTTGATCCATTTGTTTAGTCGCTAGCCGCTGAGATGGTTCTGATCTGTGACCCGTCTCCAATAATCCGTACTGAATTTTAAGCTTGTGTTATTTAGAGAAACAGACAAATACAGCAAACAGCTTCAATCCAACCCCAGTTGAGCGTGAAGGTGTTAGCCAAAAGAAAAAGACAAAAGGTGTGACCACACCCCTCAACCCCATCACCTCAGGTGATAGCGCATTATAAAGAACACCTGTGGCCCACCACCATAACTGGCTAAGTGTAAGTAGTGACCTTGGCTCCCACATTGATTACTATTGTTTTATGGTTTTTGTGTTTTATTTGGTGTATTGTATTCCCTTTTGTGTTTCATTGGAGCTCCGTTCACAAACATTTTACTCTTGAGGATTAATAATGTAAATCTTAATCTAAATCCTAGTCAACATCTTTTGTCTGTTAGTAAAATATTTCATGAACCACTCAGGTTGACCTATTTTTTTTAAGTTTACTTAATGAATGGTCATCTACAGCTGATTAACTTTTGCTGTTACCTAATTCAAGATGGCTGCCACACCTAATGCACTCTAACAAACAGAAAAATAGTTTCAAATGAGTGAATTGAACAAATACTGAGCTATAACTGTACTTGGTAGGAGTTGAGAATCATCAACAACAGAACATATGCTAACAGATTGGCTTCATACATCCTAGACAGTCTTGGTTTGTGCGAGGCCTTTTAATGATGACTCCTCTCTTAAAGAAACCCATCCTTGACGCCAGCTCCACCAGTAACTTTAGGCCCATTTCTAAGCTACCTTTCATCAGTAAAGTACTTGAGAAGGTTGTTGAAACTCAACTCAGATCCTGGTTTTCTAAGTCAAAGATCTCTGACCCCTTCCAATCTGGCTTTCTGAAGCAGCACTCAACTGAGATTGCTCTAGTAAGGGTGCATAATGACCTCCTAATGGCTGCTGATGCTGGGAAATGCTCTGTCATGGCCCTGCTTGACCTCAGTGCAGCTTTTGACACAGTAGACCACAACGTTCTACTGAACAGGTTAAATGCCCTGGCTGGTATCTCAGGTTCTGCTCTAGACTGGCTCTTCTCTTCTCTCACCAACAGACCATTCGCAGTGAAGTCAGAAACCTTTTCATCAGACACCGCTTCTCTAACCTGCGGGGTCCCACAAGGTTCAGTTCTAGGGCCTCTACTATTCGCGTTCTATATTCTTCCTCTAGCTGGCATCATTCTTTCTCTGACATTTCCTACCACATCTACGTTGACAATATTCAGCTCTATATGTCCTTCATGCCACACCAGTTGGACAGGCTGGCGACCCTTGTACTCTGCCTGACCCAGATCAGTAACTGGCTGTCCAGCAACTTTCTTGTTCTCAACGCCAACAAGACAGAGACCCTGATCTCTGCACCCCCGGAACCTCAGCCAAAAATCGAGCAGGAAATTGCCTCCTTTTGCCCAACAGCCAAGTCCAACATTAGAAACCTGGGAGTTATTTTTGATCCAGTTTTAAGTTTAGACACATGTCAAAACCATCTCCCACTCTTGTTTCTTTCACCTGAGAAACATTTCAAAAGTTTGTAAACTGGTTTCAACTGCAGATCTGGAAATAATCATCCATGCCTTTGTCTCATCACGCTTAGACTATTGTAGCACTCTTTTTACGGGTCTCAGCAAAACCTCCTTCTCACAACTTCAAGCCATCCAAAATGCAGCAGCCAGACTCCTAACAAAATCCAGCGGACGAATTCACATCACTCCAGTTTTACAGTCCCTCCACTGGCTCCCGGTAGAATTTAGAATTCAATTTAAAGTATTAGTGCTGACCTATAGAGCTCTTAACAACCAGGCTTCAAGCTATCTATCTATCTGAGATTTTATCCCCATACACCACTTCACGGAACCTTCGATCCACATCTCAAAACCTCCTGGCTGTTCCTCAAACCAGACTAAAAACCAAAGGGGACAGGGCCTTTCAGACTATTGCCCCCAGACTTTGGAACAGTCTGTCATCAAAACTCCATCTCTCCAAAACTGTAGAGGTCTTCAAAAACATTTTAAAACTCACCTTTTCATCCAGGCATTCCCCCACTAAATATTCTGAAAGATGGCTTTGTCTTTGTTCCTACCTTGACTTTGTTTTTACTCCTGATTTTGTTTACTATATTGTCACTGCTATTGTTTTTTTATGATCTGTTTTTATTGGTTTGAGGTATTTGCCCTGATTTCACTCATGTTGTTCTTAACTTACTTACATACTAATGGCTGACTGTCACTGAAATAGTTTTTATTCCATGATGCTTAGACACAAAGAAACACTGGGATCTAAACAATAGCCATTGTTTCAGTTTATTGTCTTTTAAGTCTTCTGAATTCTTGTTGACATCCAGAATATTAAGGACTTTATCTTTTCTGAGTCAACTGATTGGCCCAGTTCACACGGCTAAATCATCCATCCATTTTTATCCGTTTATCCGGAGTTGGGTCATGGGGGTAGTAGCCTAAGTCGAGAGGCCCAGACTTCCTTCTCCCCAGCCACTTGGGCCAGCTCCTCCGGGGGAATCCCAAGTCGTTCCCTGGCCAGGTGAGAGACAAAGTCCCTCTAACGTGTCCTGGGTCTACCTTTAGGCCTCCTCCCGGTTGGACGTGCCCGGAAAACCTCACCAGGGAGGCGTCCAGGAGGCATCCTGACCAGATGCCTGAGCCACCTCAATAGGCTCCTCTCAATGTGGAGGAGCAGCGGGTCTACTCCGAGCCCCTCCCGGATGACCGGGCTTCTCACCCTATCTCTAAGGGAGAGCCCAGCCACTCTTCAGAGAAAACTCATTTCGGCCGCTTGTATCCGTGATCTCGTTCTTTCGGTCACTACCTAAAGCTCATGACCATAGGTGAGGGTAGGAATGTAGACCGGTAAATCGAGAGCTTCGCCTTCTGACTCAGCTCTCTCTTCACCACGACAGACCGGTACAATGCCCGCATCACTGCAGATGCAGCACCAATCTGCCTATCGATCTCACGCTCCAGTTTTCCCTCACTCATGAACAAGACCCCGAGACACTTAAACTCCTCCACTTGGGACAGGACCTCATCCCTGGCCTGGAGAAGGCATTCTACGGTTTTCCGAATCAAGACCATGGTCTCAGATTTAGAGGAGCTGATTCTCATCCCAGCTGCTTCACACTCGGTTGCGAACTGCTCCAGCTAAACCTGAAGATCATGTTCTGATGAAGCCAACAGGACCACATCATCTGCAAAAAGCAGAGACCTGATCCTCAGGACACCAAAACGAATGCCCTCCACACCTTGGCTGGACCTAGAAATCCTGTCCATAAAGGTTATGAACAGAATCGGTGACAAAGGGCAGCCTTGGCAGAGTCCAACTCTCACTGGGAATGAGCCCAACTTACTGCCGGCAATGCGGACTGAGCTCTGACACCGGTCATACAGGGACCTAACAGCCCATATCAGAGGGCCTGGTACCCCATACTCCCAGAGTACCCCCCACAGGGCCCCCCGAGGGATGCGGTCAAACGCCTTCTCCAAATCCTAAAAACACATGTAGACTGGTTGGGCAAATTCCCACGCACCCTCCAGGATCCCCCTAAAGCTTGGTTTATGCTTGACGTATTCACTTTCCGCTTGGTGATGCGGCTCGCGGATGGAACGCGCTTCACAACTCGCAGCGTTTATGGTTCATGCGGCTTGTCTCTGCGGTGAGCCAATATCCTCCCAAACTGAACGGGGCAGCATGGAGCTCTACGGCATGCATCCAACACTACACCATAGTAGAAGTAAAAATGACTGTTGTTTACAACATGGCATTCCAGCATTTTTAACAGCGTCCTCGTCTTTTTCGACAGTGCGAGCTATTTCTCTCCAAGAATTATTAACATGTTGATCACGGTGATCTCTGAGAGCTGAATCATACAAATGTCTGTATTTACGAACCTCTGCCATACTAGTTCTTGCCAGTCCGCCATGTTTTTCTGCGTCCGACCGTCCACGTGGTTAGAACCTTTCCTAGGTGCGCGGTGCGGAAATTTTGGGCCATGCGGAGGCGTGGTGGAGGGGCGTGTTGTTAAAATGACGCAATTTCGCCGCGCGGACCTCGCGGACGCGTCAAGCATAAACCAACCTTAAGGGTATAGAGCTGGTCCAGTGTTCCACGGCCAGGACAAAAACCACATTGCTCCTCCTGAATCTGAGGTTCAACAACCCTCCTCTCCAGAACCCCTGAATAGACCTTACCAGGAAGGCTCAGGAGTGTGATCCCTCTGTAGTTGGAACAGTTGCCCCCTTTTAAAATAAGGGAACCTCCACCCCAGTCTGCCAGTCCAGTGGGACTGCCCCTGATGTCCACGCGATATTGCAGAGCCGCGTCAGCCAACACAGCACCAGAGATTTGAGAGGCCAACCCAAAGTCCCCAGACTCTGCTTCCTCACTGTAAGATGTGCTGGTGGGATTGAGGAGGTCTTCGAAGTATTCTGCCCACCGATCCACAACGTCCTGAGTAGAGGTCAGCAGCACTCCATCCCCACTATAGATAGTGTCGGTAGCGCACTGCTACCCCCCCCCCCCCCCCCCCCCCCCCCCCCCCCGGGGCGCCGGATGGTGGACCAGAATCTCCTCAAAGCCGTACGGAAGTAATTATGCTAATTCCTGACACGATCCTCCCCTTAAGACAATCTTAAGAACACACCAGATATCTAACTTCTCTAAAAATAATCTTATCAGATATTCCTACGATTTGTGGCATGCTTAGAGCTCTCTGAGAAGCATCAGGATTGTTCTGATCATTACTTGGGGATTTTCAGTATGTTGGGTGCTACCTGTTGAATGTGGCTTGTAGCCAGTCAGAAAGCGAGCTGCACACTCCTCCAACATGTTTATTTTCTCCAAAGTCAGATTTGATCTCAAGGTTTTTGTAAGATTCTCCATCTTACCAGGAAGTGTTTGTGAGTGGAATGTGTGTCGCTTTTGCTGTGTTGCTGGTTCAATCTCAGGCCATTCCTTTTCATTCTGCCGCTGGGTCCTTGGGCAAGGCAATTTCCCCACCTTGCTGCCACACTTCTGTGTAAATTGCTTTAGATAAAAGTATCTACCAAATGCATTAACATCACGTATTTTGGTTTAATGTTGGGTAGCCAATTTGTTCTTAACACTTTAATGCACACAAAGAGAAAAAACTGTAAATGCAATAAAAGTTTTCCTGCATTGGTAATTTTCATACTACAGACGAGGATTAGGGCTACTGAAAAAAATCCAAATAAAAGAAAGAATTCTGACTAAACTTAGAAATCAAAAAGTCAGAATTCTTTAAGTTTTCCTGTTTACTTTTGTTTAAATGGCCAAAATCTTCTTCTGTATCTTTCCTTTGGTGCAACAAAGATTACATTTCAATATAATATTATGAGATAATAATAAGGTTTCTCATTTCTAATTACAATTACTTATAGTAACTAAGTGAGCACATGTCTAAATTGAGCGAGAAAGGATTAAATGTGATTCTGCAGATTTCACAGACACAAAGGTTTGTTTCATGGGTGCTTTAGTCCAGTGATCAGGTAGAAAAAAGAAACACAATACCTCGTCTTTTATACTTGACTAACCTCAGCCACGCGTACCTGATTCCTGCTAATCTCACAAAGAATTAGCTGTCTCACTTTGTCATCGTCTTTAAACAAAGCACGTATTTTATTTACAGTTCAGTGTTTTTTCAGAGCAGTGGAGGTGCACACCTAAAATCTGGATACAATGACTGGGCATAAAGTAATAAATGACACAAACTGTCTTCATTTATAAAACACGAGAGACCCCACATGTGGCGAAAAAACTATCACAGCTATACCAGTTTTAGACTGGGCCACATGATAAAAACTACACAAGAACAGATTTCAATCATGACATTCCCAGATAAGACAAACTTTCAAGATCAAACGTGATTTTGAGTACACAGACATGGCAGAGGAGGCATGTGCAGTGCACTGCTGTCATCTCACTTTCTGATTGGTACACTTCACATTCAACAGGGAGTCAGACCAAGACAATCCAACAGGTTTGAATGAATTTGTGATCAGAGTGGTGCCAACATCTTCTCAGCAGACCAGCACGCTCCTAACACACCTCACAGCAGGAATTTATGATTAAGAGCCATTACGGTAAATGGAGAATCCTTAAGATTGTCAGAAGGGAAGAATCAAATCAAAATCTGCTGTGAGAGCAGGGCTTAGCAAAAGGTCACAGGGAGCCTCTGAAGTAACACAAGCAGAGAAACTCAGGATTATTTGTCTGCTGGGAGGAGAATAAATAGCAGAGAACAGCTGGAATAAACCACGCTGATCTTAGCACGTACCTGTGAGGAAACCGAAGCTGCATCCACACAAGAATGCAGTGGAATATTTTGACGTAGAAAAGAATGACTCGTGTTTGTCAACAGCTTCAGGAGTTGACCGAGAGTTTGTTTTCCAGAAAGTCAGGCAAAATGAAACTGTAATCTGATACTCAGGTGTTCTCAGAGAGTTTCTTTTCCCCTGAAAGGTGAAAAATCAAACAGCAAACAGCAGGAACTACCAGATAAAAGGGCTTTGTAGGCTATATTCAGACCACCTCCTTCAAAAAAATGATTGAACTCTATAACTTCTTGGCTCAAAACCACCAGAAGATCCGTCATTTTTTAACCAAGTTTGAGTTTTTATCTTTGAATCCACCAGAGCGACAACATGGACTTGAGGACTTGTCTTAAAGGACCTACAGGACAGAAAGTCTTTGAATGTTTCACTGACTTCACAAGGAAAAGCAGAATTAACTAATAAAAACGTATGTTTAGTTAAGCAAGCTGATATTTTTGATAAATAATGTTCAAAAAAATGTAAAACTAAAATTAACTGAAGTCAGTTCAGTTGTGGGTCACCTTGTTGTCGTTTTTACTAAACAAACCTTGAATTTTTTTCACATTTTTGATCATGGCATTGTTAAAGGCCTTATGGTTTTATTCAAAATGAAATAAAAACAACCACATTTCCCAGACTCCAGTGATTGTGTTCCAGGTTTTTCACCAAGTAGATTTTGAGTGTCTGTCGGTTTCCACTTCATTACCTTTTCTTCAGAGGAGCAAAAATAATTATTGTGACATTTCCAGTCTGTCACTGTGGAAGTGAGGTGAGTACTAAAACGCAGCATAAACAGGAAGTAGCCAGATGACTAAAGTTTAAGTTTTAAATAAACAGGTACAAGGTCAATCTGAACTGAAGAGGTCAGCTTACAGAAGCAGGAATGGGCAGGAGACTGTGGACAGACCACTGGAGAGAAATTGAGGAACCAGCAGGGAAACATGTACAGGACTGAGTTTAACGGTGTTGAACACTCATTTAATCAATACAGCTGCAGTGGTTAGTAGGAATGAATGCCTTGTGAATAAATAGAAAAGCCCAGATGTGCCTCAGTGAGGAAGTACAAGTCAGCTGGAAGAGAAAAACCAGGCCTAGCATTCGCACTGCGCCCTACGATCCTCAGTTAAGTGCAGTTGGAGGAAGAGTGCAGTAAGGCTTTGAGTGCTTAGTACACGAGTGTGTAAATAAATGCCAAATTGGGACAGTGAGTATTGTGTCATTAACTAAGACCTGTGCCGGTCGCTGTTTGTGCTACTTTTTATAAAATCTTTATTAACAACTTTCAAACAAACAATTATTTGACCAAATTTGCATTTAATGCTGTCCACATTAAATCTTTGTCTAAAACATTCAGAGCATGGATTATTGTCATTAATCAAACTTTTATCATTTTGGGTAAAAGAAGAAACAATAAAACTTTGGTTCTAATATTGAAGATTTAATTTTCCATCAACAATCCAAATGTTTTTGTTCATGACTGGAAGGGTTAAAACTCTGTTTCATTTTAATCACAACATTTTATTGTTGACTCTGCAGTCTGTAAATTCATGTCATGTCCAAAATTACGCACCGGCACCGTTATCAGTTAACGATACATCTCAGCAGACATTTAATGCATCTTTCAACAGAGAAACATTTGAAAGTAATCATATACACACCCATCCATCCATTTTCTGAACCCGCTTTGTCCACGTAATGAGAGTTTTGGATGCGTGGATGTTCTCAGAAGGTTTCTTTCAGAGAGAGAGAGAAGCGCGTTCTGGGTTAGAAATGATGGTTTTGCAGCTAACTGAGTCGTTTGCTTAGAGAGAAACGCATCAAACACAATCTGTCAGAATGTCTACCTCACCCAGTATAAAAGACCCACTTTTGGATCCGAAGTGTCAGGTGGAGATGGTTTCCTCCAGGCACGAGGTTGGTAGATGGACCTCTGGTGCAACCAAATCGGTCCTGAGATGTCTCCTTGGGTCACTCGACTGGTGGAACTATTTGCGTCTCAAAGTCCATAACTCTGAGGGAGTTTTTGCATCCACTGGTTACAGTTGCGTTTATTTGTAGCTATTCTTATCGGCGTGACAGAACAGCAGGTGGCGGTTAGGGACGGCCATTCCCGTATCCTCGGTGATGGTGGTTGGTTCACAAACTGAAGTTTCTCTGCTGGAAAGTTAGTTTAACAAACTCCTCAGAACACGCCCTCTCTCAGAGCAGGAAAGCTCTGGTCATGAGTAAAAAAAAAAAACATGTGATGGCAGATTAACCTTTACTCTGGATCAGTTCTGAACGAGCTGGTTACGGTTGAGATGACCTTCTGGTGTGCTGAACACACATTATCAACCATAATCACAGTAATCATTTTTATACCCAAAGCATAATAATTCATTTCAGTAAGTAAAGTACATTTATACTGAACCAAGAGATTATTTATGATTATAATGAACCTCAATAAAGTCAAAGACTTTATTAAAATTATTATTTAAATTATCATTGTGAAACTTGAAGTGTCCTTCTTCTGGGACGGAACAGCAGCAGATAAAGGATGATATTCTTCAGACATCAGGGCTCCTGGGTTAATCTGTGGAACTAAGAGTTACAGTCTGACCCAGCTTGACCCAGCTGGGAAAATGTGACCTTTGTCACAAATTAGAGGCCCTTTATGACGCTACACTGGGGCTGGAAATGGCTGGACTGATACTGTAACTGAGGGGTGAGTGTGAAAACTGAAATAACTTGAATATAAGAGGACATGAGACACCTGGGAGACACATGGGAGACACCTGGGAGAGGGGAGATAACATGGAAGGGACACAGCACATGACACAGTCTGCCTTTTACACAGGATAACTTAAACTGGGTAATTAAAATAAATGTGATAGGATGTTTTTTGTTGTTGTTGTTTATTTCTTTTTTGGTTAAAATGTGTTTTTCATTTTTAAAATAATATTTAATATTATTATTTTTATAGATTTTATTATGTGATACATTTATTGCAAATTGAATGTTTCTATTTTTATACCTTTTTCCATTTTTGGTCCAAGTTAAAACAAGGATATAAGAATGAGAGCTCAGCTGGAGCGTAGAAGCAGAAGCTGCTTCTGGTGTGATTAAACGTCTGCTCTAACACAGGGGTTCCCTGGAACAGAAACAGTCCCAGAGAGAGGAAGAGAGAGGGGGAGAAAGAGGAGTAGGGATGAAACTGAAGGTAACAGATGAAGCTAAAGCTCTTGGGATGTGCTCACTGTTCTGGGACAAGCTGCTGTCTGTGTCGCTGCAGAAGTTAGAGGTAGGTGATGATATGATGGATTTAAAGCATGTTTAACAATTCTGTTTGCATGAATACTGTCTCTTTTATCTAGGATGATAGAGGGTTAAGCAGGCATCTAAGGGGGAAACTGCTGTCTGAATAAATGTTTAAAGAGTTATTTTTATCATTTTCAAAGCTGTGATTTGTAGAATTTGGTTCACGTCTTATACCTTTCGTATTGTTTCACTGTGACTACATGTAAAGGAATGTGAGCACAGATAGAAAGGGAGAATAGAAATAATGGATAAGTACTGGGACAGATGGCCTCTCAGAGGTGGGACTGTGATAGTCCACGTTCCTGCCTCTGAGTCCAGCTGGCAGCACTAATGCCGGCCACTTTCTGGCCAAAACATTACCTCATATCTCATTTGGTTTCTCAGCATTATCCATTTTCTATTTTTGTTCTCCTTTTGCCTTGAAGTTTGATTTTCTATTTTTATTAAATTTGTAACATTTTAGGCCAGACACTTCTAAGCATTATGAAGGTGCTAACTGTTATTGAACATCACAAAGTGTTTGTTGGTTTTACTATTTTGTTTCTGGGATTTCTATGATGTTGAAGTTTTTTTTAAATAAATGAAAATGTAAACAAGATTTATTTGGATACATGTTGATTTAGCTAGATTTGGATGGATGGATGGATGGATGGATTGTTGGCTGATTTTCTTTTTTTATGGTTGGTTGGTTGGTTGGTTGGCTGGATGGATGAATGGATGGATGGATGGATGGATGGATGGATGGATGGATGGATTGTTGGCTGATTTTCTTTTTTTATGGTTGGTTGGTTGGTTGGTTGGTTGGTTGGTTGGTTGGCTGGATGGATGGATGGATGAATGAATGGACTGTTGGCTGATTTTTTTTTGGTGGATGGATGGATGGATGGATGGATGGATGGAAGGATGGATGGATGAATGGATGGATGGATGGATGGATGGATGGATGGATGGATGGATGGATGGATGGATGGATGGATGGATGGATGGATGAATGAATGGACTGTTGGCTGATTTTTTTGTGGATGGATGGATGGATGGATGGATGGATTGTTGACTGATTTTCTTTTTTTATGGTTGGTTGGTTGGTTGATTGGTTGGTTGGTTGGTTGGTTGGTTGGTTGGCTGGATGGATGGATGGATGAATGGATGGATTGTTGGCTGATTTTCTTTTTTTATGGTTGGTTGGTTGGTTGGTTGGTTGGTTGGTTGGTTGGTTGGTTGGCTGGATGGATGGATGAATGAATGGACTGTTGGCTGATTTTTTTTGTGGATGGATGGATGGATGGATGGATGGACTGTTGGCTGATTTTTTGTGGATGGATGGATGGATGGATGGATGGATGGATGGATTGTTGGCTGATTTTTTTTGTACGGATTGATAGATGGAAGAATGGATTGTTGGTTGGATGAGTGGATGGTTGGAAGGATGGATGGATGGGCTGTTGGATGGGTGGTTACATTAAACCTGGTTTTCTGGTGTGTGAAATTTGAAGTTTGAAACATTTGATCACATGCAAATAAAATGTTTATTTTTATTCTCAGGTCTGAAGATTTTAATGGTCCTTCAGGAGCTAGTTACCTTCATCTAGCTGCTGCCAAGGAAGACCATCATCTTCATGACAACTAAAATTTGTCTCTGGAAAGGATCTAGCAAAAGCCAGCAGGACTTTTACCTGAATCATTAGATGAGATGTGAGGAAACTCTGGTTTCTTTGATGGTGAAACTATGTCTCTGTAGTTAAAGTGAAGTGCAGTAGAAGTTGTCCCTGAAGATTAGTATCGGAGAAAAATACAAGTAGAAGAATACCACCCTCAAATTCAATAGTGTTTGGAACAATGGTCTATCCACGGCTCCCTCCTGCCCCATTCCTCTCTCCACACTTGGTCTTTCTTGCTGGACTGCTGCTTGTCGGACGCTGGGCACCTTTGGAAGTGAGAGGCCAGAATGACACAGAGCCGATCGTGTTGGAGGGAAAGTGTCTGGTCGTTTGTGACTCTACGCCGTCAGCAGAACCATCAGGAAGTGCTCTAGGCTTGTCCGTGAGGTCAGGAACGGGTCGGGTGGCATTTTCAGCCATCCGTAACACCAACCATGAACCATCAGAGATGAGCAACCGCACCATGACCATCTACTTCAATCAGGTGGGCGTTAATAGTTTAAGCCAGTTTAACTACGGGTCTAGAAGGAAGGATAAAAGTGTAAAATTAATTTAAAACTGATAGTACAGCTTGTTTGCCAATAAAATGTAGAGTAGAAACCAAAGTTATTATCTTTGACTAATTTGGCGGGATGGGTTCTATAGGTTTGGTAAAGCATAATGACATTATAGCCTTTATTAACAAAAACTATTTTGTTTGATCTACATCTATTTCTTTTCATGTTTTAGTAAACTGTGTATTTCTAATTTTGGTCAAATTTGTTAAATATTATTTCATTTAAAGTTTTTGATCTTACCCCAGAAACAAAAAAAAGGGCTTTTTGTTTGAAACTTAGATTATTATTTAAATACTCGCAATATTAAAAATAAAAAACACACTTACTTCAACTCTTCCTCTTGTCTGGTTTAGAAAACCCAACAAAAGTTGCTCTTTTAAATAGACATAATGAAACAGTGTGTCATGTAATGTACTAATTTTAGTCATTCATTGGTGTTTGGTGTTTATAGCAGGAGACCCCAAATCATTATAATCTTTCATTAATTTCAACAGTATGAACAGAATACAGCAGGAATTAATGGAATTGAGGTCAAACGGTAACAGGTTCTTTGGGTCATCTGATGTTTTATTATAAATTAGAGCATAATCTACTAAAATAAAACTACAAATCAAGATGAGGGTAATGAATTAATTTTAGAGAAAAAATGGCACACGAGTGAAGTTACTATTGTCCAAATTGATGCTGTTTGGTTAAAGTTAGAATATGGAATATTTTAATTAAAAACTATATTTTTTTCTAAATGGATGGATGGATGGGGTGTTCAGAGGGGTGCAGAATTGTTTCTTCTTTTAAAGCCATATTTAAACAGATAAATAATCAAATTGTTATTCTGTCGGGGCAAAACACTGTGTTTATGTTTACATCTACCAGCCACTAGAGGGCACCGCTGCGCTAAAAAGTCCACTCAGCAAGGCAAGGCTGGGACTGTGCAAAATGTGATGTGACAAGTCAAGCAGCTGATTCTGAGCCCAGAAGATGTTCTAACGGTAAATACTGTTGTAAGCTAAACTTGTTAGTAGAAGTGGGTCCTTATCCTGTATGATTTGTCTCTGAACATGGTGCTGGAACATGTCAGCAGTGAACCAACATCCCAGCGGCTGAAAGTTCACCAGTGTGTCCGTGTTCCATATTCAACCTTTAACACTGAAAACTAAAAAGTGACATAGGTCACTTTGGTAACTCTGATTAAGTCAGCATTGTCAAAACATTAGTTAATTTATTTGCACCGATTAAATATTTTTCCTTTGACCCGAGTACTCCAGCCTTCTTCTGCCACTTCACAGTTGTTGGTCCTAGCTGTTGGATGAAGCACAGAGTATATGTTATGTTTACTCCTAAAAAGTCACACAGTTTAGGTTTTTTACATGCAAAAATCCAACTTATTATTCTTTCTTAGAACATAAAGAGACCAAAATATTCACAGTATGTTAAAGATTGGGACTGTACGAAACTAAAATTGGCAGCTCTTGCTCAGCAACTATCACAAACTTCCATCAAACACAGATGGGTCTTAATCGTGTCCTAGTCAGTGATGTGGTTCGTTACTTCTTTCACTTCTCTTGTAGATTTTGGTGAACGTTGGCAGCCATTTTGATCCAGCGACGAGTATCTTTGTGGCCCCCAGGAAAGGAGTCTACAGCTTCAGCTTTCATGTTGTTAAAGTTTACAACCGCCAGACGATACAAGTAAGACCAATTTGAGGATAGTGAATGTGGGGTGGTGCACTTGTTGTAAATGTCACAATTGAGAATCATCACTAGACGGTGGGCTTGTCATACCAAGATGACCCCCAGAGTTTGAAAAATAGCACAAAGAGACCTGTGCCTTGCAGAAAATACACAGTCCAACAATGGAAGACACGGCAATGATGTTGAACTTTCTGTTCGGTCTGTATCTTTTCGTTGGACTGAATGAAGAAGAAGAAAGTATCATTTCTATAGCGCCTCTCGAGATAAAAATCACGAGGCGCTTATAGTGTAGCATGGTGGAAGTAAAGGAGAGGTGGGTAGCAACAAACCCTTGGCAGTCAGTGACCATCATTGTGGAATTCACTTGTTGCCCAGTGGGTAATGGAGACAGGCACCAGCAACAGGAATGAGCTGGTACAAAATGCGAAAGGTTGAAAGGTTGAAGTGCATTGACTCTACTGCACAAGTACCAAACTCCGGTCCTCGAGGGCCACTATCCCACATTTTCCCTGTTTCAACACAACTGATTTCAATCAGCAGGTGATTAACAGGCTTCTGGAGAGCCTGATTAGCTGCTGCACGGGTGAGTCAACAGTGTTGGAACAGGGAAGCAACAAAAAGACGCAGGATAACGGCCCTTGAGAACTGGAGTTTGACACCCCGGCTGTGTGGACAATCTGCAATCCAACCCTTTACTTGATGGCATCAGAACCTTTTTCTGAAAGCTGCTTAACATCTTCCAGATGTCCCCTCAGGGATCCTAATCTTTGTGGACAGTTTGTCTGAAGAATGTGACGTTTTATGTTTGTAAGAGACGTTTTTACCAAAACAAGACATGGGAAAGCTAAATTGCCTCAATCTGAATTTTTTGGTGTGGGACAAATAGCCTGGCCTGCCAGACTCCTCTGTTTAATTCTACACAGAGAAAGGGTCTGGGAACTCTCCAATTCAAATAACCCCACCCTGCAAGAATTCTAACTGAGCCAATCAGCGCTGAGGAGCGTACATCACACACCATAACGCCAAGTTTGTCATAAACATGGCGACTGAAGTGGAGTTCGCTGCGGCTCTTTCCTCTGGTCTAAATGACTTGAACATGTCTTTAAAAGCAGAACAAGTAGAAGTGCTAAAAGCCTTTCTTCTAAAGAAAGATGATGGTGCCGTTTCCAGACGCCATTTTTGACTACAGCTAAAAAATTTGTGGTCATCTTACAAACATGCAGCTTAACGAAGCTGCATGTTGCTTACGATGATGCATATAGAGAATCCTCCTTATAATACCCAGGGGGGGAGTGCCAACCAGATGTTTGTTACTGCGGGGGGTTGTACTTTTAAATAAAGTACACAGTTCAAGACCATCTAACAGTATTCAGCAACCACTGATCCTAATGTGAGCTGTTGTTGTTGTTGTTGTTTTTTTCTTCCGGCTCTTGGAGAGTACAGACGCTTTTTTCTCCTCTCCCTCCCTTCTTATCCCAAGCCTCTTTGTCCTGTCTGTGCACGGCGCTTTCTGCATCTTTTCTGGAAACTGGAAATTATTAAAACTGGATCTGGTCAGTTGGTCTCTCAACGCGATTGACAAATTTTTTTCAATGATGAGAACAGGAGAAGGGGCTCCCAGAGGCCCCTCTGGGACAAAGCCAGCAGGGGCATAACATGGACTCCTGGAAACAGTGGAACCTGATCTGCCTCTCTCAACTGTCTATAGAGGATTCTGAAGATGTCTGGATATTCGTGGTGTTGGTGTCGGGATTCCTGCTGTTTGGCCTGAGCGGTTACCTGGCTTACCGGAAAATTAACGAGCTTTCGAGGAATATTGGTTTAATCCTGGAGCTCAGGGATGGAATGCATCGTGCTGTGAACGCACAAACTCATATAATTGTCAAGATGAGTCGTAAGCTTGGAACTTTGGCTGAGATTCAGGCTCTGGCACAAAAGGTGGATTCCATCAAGAAGAGAGTTGACGGATCAGCACGGATTGGGATTGATTAATTACGCCATTATTGGATCTAGAGGGGTTGAAGACCAACAGAACTCTAAGGTAGAGAGGAAATTATCTCTGTCTGTCCCCAAAACAATCCTTATCTGAATCTGGTGCCCTTGGAGCCTGTGAGTCTGAAGTCATATCTCCGCCCTCAGAAGAAATGTGGAATGCTGCTGTTGCTATGGTAACTCTTTCTCCCTATCCCAGCCTGGGCAGGACTGTGACTGGTGAAGGCCGTGGAATTGTATCCACGTATGCCCTCTAACCCATTATCTCCCTCCCCTGTCCAAACGGAGGTGTTGAGCACTGCTCCATGCGGCTGCAGGCACTGAAGTGAGGAGAGTCCCAACCCTACCTCCCCACCTAGTGGACACTTATGTTGTGTGATGTCTGAAGTCTGTGTGCATATCTGTCTGAGGTGTTTTTTTGCATAGCAAATCTGTCCTCTCTGTTGACGGTAACTCTGATGTGCCTTTTTTTCCCCTCCCCCTGACTCTATCCTCATATAAACCCTCTTGATCTTTTACAGTAGCGTGACTAGGGTTGCAAATGACCACAGTCACCAGTTCTTGTCATGTGTCTATGTCTGTATATCTGATCTCAGAATTGTGTGTACTGAAGCTCTAATTTCCCTCTGGGATTAATAAAGTATTTTTGAATTGAATTGAATTGAATTGAATTGCTACTCATCCAGCCTCAGGAAGCACTGGTTGAAGTGTTTGTGTTGACTCTTCTTGATTATGATTTTTATAAGATAAAAATATTTTTACTTTTTAGATCCAGATTTTTAAAAGTGTCTCACTTTTACAGTTGTGGTCAGAAGTTTACATACACTTGTAAAAAATATAATATAATGGCTCTACTGAGTGTCCCGTTATTTCTAAAACTCTGATTTTTCTCTGATAGAGTGATTGGAACAGATACTTCTTTGTCACAAAAAACATTCATGAAGTTTGGTTCTTTAATGTCTTTATTATGGGTTAACAGAGAAAAGTGATCACATTTGCTGGGTAACAAATATACATACAGCAACATGATCTAGCAATTTTGTTGACTTAGAAACGTGTCAGTGAACTGAGCTTCATAGCATGGCCTCTTAACTTCTTGTGAGTGATTATGAGTGACTACAGCTGGTGACTTCTCTTAGGCCAGGTAAATAGGGCTCATTGGATACAAACGCCCACAAACGCTACAATGGGAAAGTCAAAGGAGCTCAGCATGGATCTGAAAAAGTGAATTATTGACTTGAACAAGTCAGGAAAGTCACTTGGGGCCATTTCAAAGCAGCTGCAGGTCCCAAGAGCAACAGTGCAAACAATTGTTTGTAAGTATAAGGTGCATGGCACTGTTTCATCACTGCCAAGATCAGGAAGAAAATGCAAGCTATCACCTGCTGCTGAGAGAAAATTGGTCAGGAGGGTAAAGAGTGAACCAAGAATCACCAAAAAGCAGATCTGCCAAGAATTAGAAGCTGCTGGAACACAGGTGTCATTGGCCACAGTCAAACGTGTTTTGCATCTCCATGGACTGAGAGGCTGCCGTGCAAGAAGGAATTGCTCCAAAAGTGGCACCTTAAGGCTCGACTGAAGTTTGCTGCTGATCACATGGACAAAGATAAGACCTTCTGGAGGAAAGTTCTGTGGTCAGATGAAACAAAAATCGAGCTTTTTGGCCACAATGCCCAGCAATATGTTTGGAGGAGAGAAGGTGAGGCCTTTAACTCCAAGAACACCATGCCTACAGTCAAGCATGGTGGTGGGAATATTATGCTGTGGGGCTGTTTTGCTGCCAATGGAACTGGTGCTTTACAGAGAGTAAATGGGATAGTGAAGAAGGAGGATTACCTTCACATTCTTCAACATAACCTAAAATCATCAGCACGAAGGTTGGGTCTTGGGCGCAGTTGGGTGTTCCAACAGGACAATGACCCCAAACACACATCAAAAGTGGTAAAGGAATGGCTAAATCAGGCTAGAATAAGGGTTTTAGAATGGCCTTCCCAAAGTCCTGACTTAAACCCCATTGAAAACATGTGGACAGTGCTGAAGAAACAAGTCCATGTCAGAAAGCCATCAAATTTAACTGAACTTCACCAATTCTGTCAAGAGGAGTGGTCAAAGATTCAACCAGAAGCTTGCCAGAAGCTTGTGGATGGCTACCAAAAGCGCCTAATTGAAGTGAAAATGGCTAAGGGACATGTAACCAAATATTAGCACTGCTGTATGTATATTTGTGACCCAGCAAATGTGATCACTTTTCTCTGTTAACCCATAATAAAGACATTAAAGAACCAAACTTCATGAATGTTTTTGTGACAAAGAAGTATCTGTTCCAATCACTCTATCAGAGAAAAATCAGAGTTTTAGAAATAACGGGTCACTCAGTAGAGCCATTATATTATATTTTTTACAAGTGTATGTAAACCTCTGACCACAACTGTATGTACTCTGTTCACTCTATGTATTTTACTTTGTATTTTGTTGTTTAACTATTTTATCATATCTGATGCTTTTTACTTGAACCAGTGTGTCTGTTAAGTCTACTACTACTCTTTTCATGGTTTTCATATCTTTATGACCTCAACGGTTCTTTATCTCACATCTTTTTACTTTGCGTCTTGTGCATTTTTTCTAGGCGAGTTTAGTTCTCAACGGCTGGCCGGTGATCTCAGCTTTTGCAGGGGACCAGGACGTGACAAGGGAAGCTGCCACCAATGCTGGGTTGGTGATAATGGAGCGAGGGGACAAGGCGTACCTAAAACTGGAGAGGGGGAACCTGATGGGAGGATGGAAGTACTCCACCTTCTCTGGGTTTCTGGTGTTCCCCTTGTAGGGTCTGTTGAGATGATGTTGTGTGGGTGGAAGAGGGAGTAACCGTATTGGAATCTACGTTGAACTTATCTCAATCTGTTGATTGGGTGAATTTTTGTTGCACCAAACACTCTTGAATGTAATTTCCATAGTGACTGCACTTTTGTGGCCTGTTCCCTCTTGTCTGCTGCAGGTATTTAATCTGTTCTCATGCATGCTCCAGAAGTTTAGTTTGTGGTTTTACTTTTATGCATGAAACACAGTTTACACAAGGCTTGTGACATTAAATATCATTGCTGTCTGTTGTCTGTGCAACTGTCACTCTATGGAAAACTAACATTGATTGAATGAGTGAATGTTCAAAATGTATTTTGAAGCTCCAGACATCACAGTGGAAAACTTTGGGTGGATCATTTACGTGAATACAATTTTTAATGAACCAAGTCTATTGAAACACATCAGCTCGGACCAGAATGACGAGCTAACAGCTAGCAACAGCAAAAGGGGTCACTGCAAATTTTATTTTAGATATTTAATTGTGACTCATTAAGACATTGGATGTGTTTAACATGACAACAGTTTATTTTGGAACATTTACTTGTTAGCTTCATCAGAACTATTCTCTATTTCTCAGAGCATGAGAAACAAAAATAAAACTGACAAAGAATTTCCTGGTGGTACAGATAATGATGACCCGATGGTTATTTTAGTGGAATTATGGATACTGAAAGATCAAAAAACACTTTTTTGGGTCTACTGTGTAATTCTGTTGTCCTGTGGTATGATTTAACATTGGTCACATTGGAAATTATATTAAGGATTTTTAAGTGAAGCACAGTTCTATGAAATCGAAATTCCAAGTGTTATCAGGTTTGCCTAAAGTCGAATCAAAAAACTACCTGAAAATTGTTAAAGTGCCATAAAACCTGTGTCTCTCATGGGGTTAACATTTTTAGCCCTAGTTACGGCCATGGCAGAGGAGTTAAGTTCCTGTCTCAGCAGAGGGTTGTGGGATTGAGTCCTGCTCAGTCTGTCACAGTTGTGTCCTTGGGCAAGACGCTTCAACCTCCTTGGCTGGTGGTGGTCCGAGGGGCTGATGGTGCCTGTGTACAACAGCAGGGCAGCTGTAGCTACATCATAGCTCATCATCACCAGTGTGTGAAGTGCCTTGGGGGGTTGTAGAACCCTAGGGCTCTAAACAAATACAGGCAATTTACCATTTTCTTAATCATCATATACCTGATAGTACCTGATAAACTGGCCAAAAATTTCCACGTGTTCAATCTCTACTATCTGACCTTACAATCCAAAAAGTCCTACACTACTCAGATAAACTAGAGTATCATATGTCTTCTTAGAGCTGATATTTGCTTCTAAAAGCAACAAATTACCCAGGAATCCATCCGTAGGTTTTGCTGTCCCTGCTGATGAACAGAGACTGTGCACGCCACTGCGTTTCGCGGGATAGGATCCGGTGACAGATGGAGGATTGGCAAGGAGGGTAGGAATCAGCGCCAGTAACTTGCTGGGCTCATGCTGAACCATCACAGCTGATATGTGTCAGCATCCTGGAACACAGCAGAGTCCTGTGTTAGCACTTTGGAGAGTCGTGTACAGAGAACAAAACTGTGTTATAGGAGCAGAAAGTAAAACTGGAGGAGAACTAGGAAACTATCTATCTATCTATCTATCTATCTATCTATCTATCTATCTGTCTATCTGTCTATCTGTCTATCTATCTATCTATCTATCTATCTATCTATCTATCTATCTATCTATCTATCTATCTATCTATCTATCTATCTATCATCTATCTATCTATCTATCTATCTATCTATCTATCTATCTATCTATCTATCTATCTATCTATCTATCTATCTATCTATCTATCTATCTATCTATCTATCTATCTATCTATCTATCTATCCATCATCTATCTATCTATCTATCTATCTATCTATCTATCTATCTATCTATCTATCTATCTATCTATCTATCTATCTATCTTTCTATCTATCTATCTATCTATCTATCTATCTATCTATCTATCTATCTATCCATTATCTATCTATCTATCTATCTATCTATCTATCTATCTATCTATCTATCTATCTATCTATCTATCTATCTATCTATCCATCATCTATCTATCTATCTATCTATCTATCTATCTATCTATCTATCTATCTATCTATCTATCTATCTATCTATCTATCTATCTATCATGATCATTTTCTGTTTAAGGATATAGGTGGTACATCCTGCAGGAATGATGTGCTAACAGCTAGTATGAGGGCAGCTAAGACCAAAGAGTTTTCTGCTAAAACAGCTCCAATATCCAAAGTTTCATTGTGATTCACGAGTGTTTAAAAACAATTCTTTACTATGTTGTATATTTTTATTATATGGTTATTTTGGCAGAAATTGTCAAACTATTTTATACATGACGCCCAGATGCAGCAGAAGTACTACATGTTGCTACTGCTGGTGACATTTATGCTTGTAAATGCCACGATTAAATTATGGAGTTGTTTTAAAGCTGCTATACTGAATATACAGAACAAGCTAGGGTTTAAATATAAACACGGTCACGGAACACTCACCCTTCCCCTTGGGTATCTTCCCTGAGCCGGAACCAGAAACTTGCAATGCCAGAGGAAACGAGCTAGCGCTAAACACCAGCCGCCATTTTCTAATCTCTTTTGTCTGTGACTTCAATTTTTTTTTTCATTTTGGGACTCTGGTAGTTTGTCCAAGTTGAAGTGGTAGCAGCCAGCTGTTTCTCCTTCTGATATTATTGAGCAGAGAGCCTCTCACACCAGTGGTGTTCTGCTGCTTAATACCTGTGTGTATGATGAGTGGAGGACCCAGGGAAGTGTGACGGTTCAGTGAGACCGACAACTGGATGGTCCAATAGTGGCTTTTGGTCCGAAACGTGTTATTGGTGGGGGTTTTTAAACAAATGCGAGAGAACCACATAATCATTATTTTTGTTATAACTACACAATATATTTATAACTATACTATTATAGAACATTGTTACGAGGCATGACAAATGTTTTGAGCTAACTTGTTTTCCAATTTAGCTATTGTAGCTTTAAAGGGGCAGCAGTAAGACACTTTGGTCTTAGCTGCATTTAGACTATTGAACCAATGCAGCTTCAAAAGGAAAAACCAAAACATCCATTCCTTTATATTCAGGAAACATTTTGATGTTAAATATTTTTGAGATTTTCGACTTGGAATTAAAATAAATAGATTATGTAAGGAGAAACTACTAACCTTCCAACATTTATCTGTAAACTAGTGAATATTTATAGTTTTATCCTTTAGAAAAGCTGATAGTTGGTTCACCTCACTCCAGAATTAAGACAACAACATCTCAAACATAAACTGTAGCATGTTTCTTTTTCACATTTCAAATTAATGTTCATCCGCTGCTGGAAATAGTCCCATGGCCTTCAAAATAAAACATGTTTATAATTCAAAGAATCTCAACATAAATTTGATAGGAATATTTTACAGTTAATAAAAAGTATTTTAAAAATTGCTGTTTATTGAAAAAATACCTCAACCCCACATTTCATCACATTTACCAGCAAGATAAATATATTGATTGAAAAGAAAAGCATTTTTATTATTTTTTTAAACAAACAAATAATCTGAAAAGTACCAGTAAAAGCTGTAATTGCACATTCCTAAAGCATTATTATATTCGTGGTTCATTGTGTGTGTAGGTTGGTGGATTACAGCATGTGTGATATGTTTTTGAAAAAGAAGAGTAGAAAATTCATGTTTGGATAAAAAGTGAAGAGTTTGTATAAAAGATTTTTTTGGCATCTTTAGACGAGTTGGCAGTGGAATTGTGGACATTTTCTCACCACAGTTGGTGGGAAAAAATAGAAATAAAAAAGCTTATAATTATACTGCTGATGACACAAAAAGAAAGTGTGAGAAAACACAATAAATAAGGAATAAAAAACATAAAAAATCTGTTCAAAATGCTTTCATGCTACAAAAATATACACAAGTAGAAAATAAATCAGTTTTTTTGTTGCTGAAAATTTTTGTTTTTTATGAACTCAGTGTTGTCAAAGGTAGAGGGCGCCGTTGGGTGGCGTTTCCTCTCCAAGGAACCAGGGTAGAAGATGTTCATGGTGTTGTTGATGCCGCTCTGAAATCCGGTCACATTGCAGAAAAACATCTTGAATCCTTGAGAAGGGGACGGGAAGGTGGAGTAGGTGTCAGGGCTGGAATGCTGACGCTGCAGAGAGATGGACAGTGTTTAATCAGAGATTTTATTCTTTCATAGTCTTTTTTTTATTATATTTTCACTTTAGCCAAAAAACAAACGAAACAAATTCCTGTTTTTTCATAAGGCTGCTGCTTTTCCCAGAACTGGTGAGCTCAGATCAAACTAAGAAAAGAATTTACCTTAGAGAGGTGATACTTTTACTGAACTTTTATTTGTACATGCTTTTTTCAGTCTGTTAAAGGTACGGTCTGGGATTAGCTTCCTGCAGTGGCCAAATTACTTGAAACATTCTTCACATATCAATGTGTGTGCCCAGAGACAGCTGGAGATAGGCACCAGCCCCCGGCAACTCTATGTGGATGAACAGGTAAAGAAAATGGATGGATGTTTAGTTTAAAAAAATTTTGTAATGTGTCAGAAATGTATATTGGTAGAAAAACCTTATCCAGTCAAAGTGAAAGTCCCATTCTTAATGATTGGATCATGATTCATACATTAAGCTCCTCTCTGATTGTCCCTCCCCTAGTTTTACATACTCCTATGTCTGCAAAAATCATGCTTTTTCAGCTTGGAGCAGCAGAACAAGAAGTGAAGCCACAGCTGGGCTGCATAGTGTAACGGTCTGAATGTTCCACTCTGTTTGCAAATGTAATTTAAGGAGTTTTTTTAAGTGTTTTGTTAAGATTATTGTTCTTTTCTTGTTAGGAAAGGTTTAGGTGAAGGACTTGTTGGCTGTGAAAGCAGCCTGTCCTCAGGCAGCTGGTAGAGCCGGCGACCAGTTGCCTTTGTAATGTGTGTGTTGTAGATGTTCACGGCAGAGAAAAGAGCGGTTAGAAGGCGGTTTAGGTTGGGTACTGGAAGTTTTCACCTAGAAAAAGTTACGTGTGTTCCCGATTCTGGAGACGCAGCTTAGATCTTCAAATTGCACATACTCAAAATAGCTTGATTGAATGGTAGGAGAAACATCTAATTTTCCACCTTTAAATTTTATTTGTCCAAGATGGTACGTTTTTCTAAGTTTTATTTGTTTAAACAGTACTAGGGTTTGGATAGAGCCCAGCTCTAAGGTTTGGAAAGTAATTTATGGATCCCCAAACAACCACAGCTGGGTGAAACATAAGAAAACACTTGGACAACAGGTGCAACAAACATAATTTCTACCATTTACACAAAAAACTCCTCTGATTTTGAAGCACCCACCCACCTGGTACTGCGGTAACAAATGTTTGGTGAGACCGCACAGTTGAGCTGCCTCGCTATGAGACGGCCTGGTTGAAGGAGAAGGTGGGGATGTCTGTATGGGGTGAACAGAAGATTTTTTTATTGTACACTCCGGTCGGGGCTGGTCAGTTTGACACTCGTTCATAGGACGGCTTGGAGACCCGTCTGAAAAAGAAAACACTTATCTGAAAAACTGACACCACAACAGGTGAACTTGTACATCTGTTGTGGTTGCTTTGACTTCTTTACCTTCAACTCTTGATCTGCTGGTTTCCTTTGGAGTCCAAACACCGGCCATTTCCTGCAACAACAAAAAATCTGACTGTTGGGTTCTGGCTGAAAGAACAGAAACGTTAATCCAACTATATGATGTCATTTTTTTATTTATAAGTTTTACGACATTTTCTCCTGCCTGCACATTTGCTATCAATGCTGTTATCACCCATGCTTCTATACTTTTTAGAAAATATTAGCTATCTTTGACTCTGTTACCCAAACAGAACAGAGTCTGTAAAGCCATATAGGAAATAAAGTTACAGGCACACTAAGTAACTTTTTCATATTCTTAAAGGTCACTTTTACTCTAGTAGGAATGAATGCCTTGAAAGTCGTTCTCTGGGGGGTTGATTAGCTGTGGTTGGCCATCTTGAAGGAAGCTGACTGTAAACATTTCTGGGTTTATTCCAACTGTTAATGTCAAAGTTTAAAACAAAGATGTTGCACAATAGGTCCATTTCCAATGTAGTCTCCTACAGAGCCATAAAAAACTGCTTCTTCTGGTCATTGAACACCACTTTTCACTGTAAAGGGTAATTTTAGCGCATACTGGCTCAAGAAAATTATTGAAAAACATGAAAAAAGTTGCCTAGTATGACTTTAATGTCCATAGACACCTTACGGAGCTGAACAGTAGCGACATGCTGACCTCTTAGCAAAGGGCTGATATGGTATAGAGAACCGACAGCTGAGAGGACCAGGCCAGCGTACACTCCCTGTCACCTTACCCCCTCCCAGGATTTCTTCTGAACTCCTACAGTAGACACATGGCTAATGTGTGGTGCTTTAATGTAGTGAGTACTTTATGCTAATAGCATGAATTAATCTATGCGTAGAACTGGCCACTGAGTTATATCAGCCATATGTGAGTTGTTTCAGACTCATCAGTTGTATTTTTAATAGACTCAGTGTATTTACTCTATGCTAAGCCCCTTTCGTCTGAGTTTTCCAAAACGATTAATCTTTTGGCTTTAATTATCAGTGCTTTAAAACTTAAAAATTCCCTTGCTGACTGATTGAATAATGACCAAAAACATAATTCACACTTGTGTTTTCTGTGTTGAACACTCTTTCCCGTAAACCCCCCGTAGACCAGGAAGTGACGCGTGCCATATTTCCCCACAGCTGCCAAAATCTGTGATGTCACAACACCACAGGACTGACCAGCTTGGTGCAACAATGGAAACATCGGCCCCATCTCACAGTTCATCTCTAGCTATCCGTTTTGAATAAGACCAGCATTTTCAACCTTTCAGTGTCCTAAATGTGGAAATACTTTCTGCTCTCTAGTAATGAATAATTAAGAGTTTGGAAGTTGAGCCTTTAAGGAAACCAAAATTAATTCAGTTGTGTTTCATCTCAGTCCTCAGTAGCTGCTTTTTAAACATTTTATTCTTTACCTAGACCCCTGATTCGATGAATAAATCCCTTCTTCAGCATAATCTCTTAGTCTGCAGAAGCCTGGTAATTACTCTTGTAGCGGAGAAACATCTAAAACATGCAGGATAGTGGCCCTCATGGACCAGGACTGGACAGGACTGTTGGATTTAGGTTCTGATGGGATTTCCCAAACCTCACCTGAATTGGTGGGGGTCCTGTTGGCACATCATCCCAAACAGTCTTCCCTTCAACTCCAGAAACAGCTGTAACAGCAACAAAAAGAGGATTTGAAACCATAAAAAGTCACATTTTACATTAAAAAAATCACTGAACATGGTTGACTTGTGCTTTAAAATGTGTCAGCGCGATAAAACTGACTTGCAGACTGAGTTAGAGAAAGCCCCTCGACCTGCCCTGTCAGTCTTTCTTCTTCACATTTGTCCTAGAATGAGGAAGAGAAAGAGCAAGTTGAGCTGTGGTGAAAAATCCTGTCTAAAAGGAGAATCAAGTCAGCTGGAGAATGTGGGGTTTGTTCCTCACCAGTTCCTTCAGCACTAGGTGGACAGCGTCGTTAATACAGTGTTTGTGCATCTTGAACAGCTCTTCGGTCACCTTTGTGCACACTAGAGAGAGAGAGGATTGATCATTACGAAAAAGTACAAGGACGTGTTTGTTAGAAATGGATCTGGTAGAAGAACAGGAATGTCATATATATATATATATGTGTGTGTGTGTGTGTGTGTGTGTGTGTGTGTGTGTGTGTGTGTGTGTGTGTGTGTGTGTGTGTGTGTGTGTGTGTGTGTGTGTGTGTGTGTAAGACAGCTCTGGGGAGGCTTGGTGACTTAAATGTTAATAAAACAAAAGTAAATTTTGAAACAAACTTAGATCAAATTGACACACTTCTTGACAAAACTGCAACAGCAATTGTGAGAAAGTTTCAAATCCTCTCGCTAAAGAATCACTTGAACCAACTCCACGTGTTCCCATGTGGTAAAATGATCATCTATTCATGCAGCTTCATGTCTCTAGCTAGTCACCAACAGCAGCCCAGTGTTAGACTGGCTATCATACGCCAAAGCAAACTTTCTTGTGGGTTAACTGTAACTGCTAGCTAACATGTAAGAGCCATTGTCATAAAGAAATCTAACTGGAAAGATCAGACCAGTCGGGTCCTGACTCGTTAACTCTCTTACTTAAAGAGGTGGGTCTTGAGCTTGGTTTTGTATCCCAGCATTTCTGCATGAGCCCTATCACCGTTGCCAACCCTGCACGCCCTGCAGCCTTTTGCCTGATCTCATCCAGCGATGGTCGGTCTCCCTGCGGGATGCGAAACCGCACTATGCTGGATATTACATCTGCAAAACAAAAGCAGTGTGTTGATACCAGCACTATATATGTATGGCTGACATTTATTAGTAAAAAGGGTGTCTGGAGGCTGTCTAGTAAAGGGATCTTATCTCTGATTTCTGTAGATTATTTTGTCCTTAGGCTGTTGCGTGGTAATGAAATGGTGGTACCGTTGCTAGCACTATTGCCATACAGCAAGAGGATTGCTGGTTCCAATCTTGCTTGTGTACACGGGATTTTTCTGGATACTCCGGTTTCCTCGCTCACACCAAAAATATGCAAGTTTGGTTGAACGGAGACTCTACATTGTCCTTAGGTGTGAGTGAGTGGCTAACTGGTTCTTCATCTCTTTGTGTCCCTATTATGGACTGGAGACCTGTCCAGGGTGTCCCACCTCTCTCACTAATTGACCACTGGAGGTAGACACCAGCTCCCAAAAATGTTAGTGAGGACGAAGCAGTTGAGTTAGTGGATGGATGGATAGGTAGATGTCCCTGATGGACCTCCCTGACCAAATCCCTCACAGTTCACCAAGAAACTGGTAGCATTTCTACACACAACATCCCTTCTACTTGCATATAATGATTCACAATATTTCTTTTTCCATGTCATGAGACAACAATGTTTGCACAAGTTATGGTCTTACTTGCATACGGCTGTTTCCCAGTGACAATGGACCACAGCAGGATACCAAAGCTGAAAAAGATCACAGGACACTTACGGTTAAGACCCACAATATTAACACAATATGTTTGTAATGATTGTGTTGATGATCTGGGTTTCTTTTCCCTTTCTCATCCTGCTGTAAAAGAGGAAGGGAATACAGGAAACTCATTTACAGTTTCATCCCCTTTATATTGACTGAAACACATTTTCTCCTTGTTTGATGGCGAGATTTGTTATATTGACTCTGTTTCAGTGTGTTCTCACTCCACTTTAACACATTTTAGACCATCGATGTAACTAAATAACCGATTGGCAAGAGAACCTGATAAAAGGTGAGTAGTGGCTTTGCGATTTAATCCTATATGAGAAATGAAAGTGGCACACCTGTAGATGTCGGAGGCTCGTTTGGGACTGTAGGATATTTCAAATGCCTCCGGTGGCATGTAGCTGAGAGTGCCCCACTCCTCGTTGTTCTCCTTTTTGTACACCCGTGAAAAACTTTGGGAAAACTTGGCCAGGCCAAAATCTGTCAGCTAAAGAAAGAAACAATCTATATTGATTTGAATGTAGTAAATAAACATTTTTCCAAAGTGACACGTGGAAAATTCTGACACGCATGAATTAAAATGCATTTCATTTGGTAACATCAAGTATAAAATATCTCCTTCATTATTTCATTATTTTGAAGAACATTTGCTTTTCCCACTATATTTAAAACTAAATATTCAGAAAATTATGTAAAAATGTTTCAACCCAGATTAAAAAAGAAAAAAATTACCATTCACGGTAAAAATTTTAATAAGTTACACCTGAACGTTGGTACAACATTACATGAGCCTGTTGGATTATGAGTCATTTCTGTTTTGTTCCAGTCTAAGTTCATCCTACACGATAATAAAGGGTTAAAGCTGACTAAAACACCCACTATCAAATAGACGCTGATGTCTTCTCCCTGATTTCATTTTGATAGAATATTTCCATTTCACAGTATAGTCTACATTAGCATGCCAGCTTTTGTTGTTTTTGGTTTCATTCTAAATATTTAGTTAAACTTGATATGATTGAAATTGAGTTTAAATATTTACATAAAAATGTATGCTTTGATTGTTTTCGAAATATTTACATTTATCTTTTACATTAAAGAGACGTTGTGTATTTTCCTTGGCAATAGGGGGCAGTACATACCTAAATCATTGCAAACAAGCAGTATTTTTGTGTTTGAGTAAGACCTTACCAACGGATGGCCATTAGGGTCAAATATACCTGAGAGCGCAACCTCCAGCAAAATAACAAGCACATCAGACTCCCTTTCATTACTGGCAACAAGTAAAGAGGTATATGTGTAAAACAACAGTGTTTATGAATGGTGAAAGTTTTCTAACCATTTGTTACAAATCAGTAAATGTGTTTTGTTCTCACGGGCACCCGTAGAAGGAAACATGGCATCTATTATTGCGTTGGCCAGAGATTTGGACCCTCTCCCATGTGTTTTAGACCTAATTATTAGGGTATGTTACGAAGCCGCCAATATTTCTCAACAGCTGGGCATCATCTCATTCATTATCAACAACATTTGATATTTCCAGAGATTAACGGTAAAAACTAGCCTGGCAAGCCAGACCAAACTTTGCAAAGCAAGAATTTGGTCTAGTTCATTAGGGTAGGTAAAAACTACACATTGTCTCTCTTGTTGCGGGCTCCCGAAGGCCAGAGCCACAGAAGGTAATAAAGGAAGTCACAAAGGAAGAGGACACAACGGGAGGGGCCACTTGGAAGGCAGAGATAAGCAGAGCCCAGTGGAGCCTGCTGATGCGAGTGGAATCGAGGCAGGTGAAGACAGTAAGTGAACCAACTGAAGAAAGCACCACAGGATGTGATGCCCCCTTTGAAGAAGCTTACAGATGACAAATGATTACATTGTTTAGCTGTCTTGAAGTTAAATGATGTATGTAATGCAAAATACGTCACTCTGAAAAAGTGCTTGTAACATGAAAATGCTATACAATGGAAAATGTTTTGCTTTGCAGTTTTTAGAAGGATATATAAAGAGCAGTTAGAAGTAGCTCAGAGAGACTTGAACTCAGACTTCAGAGGGTGCAGAGTTAGAGAGGAAGAGAGCAGAGGTCATCCTCCATCCTCTGGACGGAGGACGACGAGAGCATGAGTAGGCAGGTGCAGAGACTTAAGCTTGGTTTATGCTTGACGCATTCACTTTCCGCGCGGTGATGTGGCTCGCAGATGGAACGTGCTTCACAACTCGCAGCGTTTATGGTTCGTGCGGCTCGTCTCTGCGGTGAGCCAATATTCTCCCAAACTGTAGGGGGCAGCATGGAGCTCTACGGCATGCATCCAACACTACACCATAGTAGAAGCAGAAATTACTGTTGTTTACAACATGGCATTTCAGCATTTTTAACAGCGTTCTCGTCTTTTCCGACAGTGCGAGCTATTTCTCTCCAAGAATTATTAACTACATGTTGATCACGGTGATCTCTGAGAGCTGAATCGTACACATGTCTGTATTTACGAACCTCTGCCGTACTAGTTCTTGCCGGTCCGCCATGTTTTTCCGCGTCCGTCCGTGTGGTTAGAAATTTTCTGAGGTGCGCGTTGCGGAAATTCTGGGCCATGCGGAGGCGCGGTGGAGGGGCGTGGTTGTTAAAATGACGCAACTTTTCCGCGCGGAGCCGTGCGGACCTTGCGGAGGCGTGGGGGGTCGACCAAGATGGCGCTCTGAGTGGACGTGCGTCGCTGAGCTCCGCAAACCGAACTGTTTTCTATATAGTTAGAGAGTGAACAAACTGAACTTTCGCCTTTAGTTATCTGTCGCGTCTGTTTGGCTGCACTATGGCTACGTCTGCTGGTAAGATGAAACCCCAGGAGAAGAGGAAGAGTGATGTAAAGAAGGTGCTGATCAGCACGTGCTCTACTAACAAGGCTGCTATGCTAGCTCCCGCTGAGCTGCCGGAGACCAACAACATGCTAATTGACAATATGCATGACTATCTCGAGTCAGATGCGGATCCACCGAAGGTCTCGTTACTGGAAGATAGTTTTCCGCCTCTCCCTGTCACCCCGGTCAACTCGCCTGCGCCTAAATGGAGACGAGTGGAAGACTCGACAACGGATGCAATCCTCTCCCAGCTTTTCTCCCTCACACAGCTGATAAACAACAGGTCAGATTCATTGGAAAAGTTGGTGAGTGACAACTCCGCAGTGATTGCAGAAGTGAAGCTGGCAGTCACAGAAAACACCAAGCAAATTGCGGATGTTAAAGAATCCTTTAATACTCTTTGTGTTGAAGTAAAAGAACTAAAAGGGAGAGTTGACCGCTGCGAAATTCTATTTAAAGATTGCAAAGTTAATTCTGATAAGACAGAGCAGCGTGTCTCTCAGCTCGAGGCTTACTCCCGACGCTGGAATCTCAAGCTCCATGGCTTAGAAGAGAAGGATCAGCAGGATCTACGACGAGAGATTATTCACATATGCCAGGGTCTGCTCCCTAAGGCCAAAACCAAGCTTCCGGATGCCATCGATGTCGTTCACCGCCTTGGCCCTAGGTGCTAATCAACCAAGAGGAGTCGTCATACGTTTTATCTCCAGGTACTACCGTGATGCTGTGTGGCGCTCCGCCAAAAACTCCACTTTCCTGAAGAGCAAGAGCTTGAAACTGGCGGAGGACTTGTCAGAAGAGGACAGAGAGAAAAGGAGGAAGCTGTGGCCCCTTGTTGACCAGGCGCGGAAAGATGGCAAGCTGGCTTTCTATGTAGGTGGTCGCGCCTTTGTGGGCGGAAAGGAAATTCTTCCTCCCTGAGACGCTGAATAGACTTTCCTAGCTAAGCGACATTTTTGTAAGGTTTACAGCCTGTTTGAATTTGGTAGCACATGTTCACAATCTTTTATAAGGTTTGCTGTTCTCAGACTCAGGTTGGTGCTTGTTGAGACCTTTATCTATTTTCGCATACGTGCTAGTTTTTCTGGTCTGGTTATTGTACTTTGTTTATTTTCCTTATGTCTTTGTCTATTATCTCTTTAAACACAAGAGGTTTGAGAAACCATCTAAAACGAAAGGCTATATTCTTATACTGCAAACAACTTAATACTGACTTTTGTTTTGTACAGGAAACACATTCAATTGAACAGGACACCAACTTCTGGAAATCACAGTGGGGGGGCGACCTGTGGCTGTCTCATGGGTCGGAGCGTTCAGCCGGTGTTTGTATTTTGAAAAACCGCTTTAGTGGAAAAGTTTTAAATTCTGAACGTGACAAAACCGGTCGTTACATATTGCTAGTCCTAGAGGTTGCCGGTGTAAGTTATATTACAGTTAATGCTTATGGCTTCAATTCGCAAGCAGAGAACATGGTTTTTTTTGATAATTTGAAAGAACGTCTCCTTTACTGGTTATCTAAATACCCGAAAGCTTCTATAGTTTTAGGCGGGGATTTTAATACTGTGTTAAGTAATCGCCTGGATAGGCTGCCTTCAAGGAATGAAGGCTCCCCTAATATTTATGTGAAGACATTCTTACAAAGCTTTGATTTAACTGATACATGGAGAGATACTCACCCGCTACAGAGATCATATACATGGAGCAACAAAACTTTATCAAAGCAGTCTCGCATTGATCTCTGGCTTATATCCAAGGATTTGAAAAATGTGATTACAAATATTTTACCAGCACCCCTATCTGATCATAAGACTATTCAAATTATCATTCCTTCTCTTTCTCTTGGTCCTCCTAAAACCTCTTATTGGAAATTAAACAGTACAGTCCTTAAACACAAGGAAGTGACCTCTAAGATTGAGCGTTTCATTCGACTATATTGGGACAAAGCTCAAAATGAAAATCTCTTTAGCATTAACTGGGAGTTATTGAAGTACGAAATTGCAAAATTCCTTAGAAAATATAGTAGTGATTTAGCTAAAAAAAGGAGATTAGAGGAAAACGACACTATACTTAAAATTGCATTCCTAACTTCTAAGTCATTAAATGCACTCACTGAGTCAGAACAGTTGGAGCTTACCAATCAGCAGCTCAAGTTAGATGAGATATATAAACGCAAAGCGCAAGGTGCCTTTGTTAGATCTCGCCGCAAGTGGCTCGAAGAGGGCGAGCAGAACTCTGCATATTTCTTTAGCCTAGAAAAGCAGCAATCTAGAATTAACTCCATTCAGCAATTAAGAATTGATGGAACAATCATTGATGACCCAAAGAAAATTTCTCAGTATTGCGCCAAGTTTTATAGTGATCTTTACAGCTCAAGATATTGCTCTCAGGAAGCTTCTACCTTTTTTAATTCTGTCCCTAATATTAATCAGATTTCTGAAGCTGACTCCGATTTTTGTGATGCCTCTATTTCACTGAAGGAAATTACTAATGCTATTAACCAGCTAAAAATAAACAAATCACCTGGAACGGATGGCTTTACTGCAGAATTTTACAATCAATTTTCTCAGAGCCTAGCTCCATTTTTAAAGGAAGTTTTTGCTGAGAGTGTTTTCAAAGGCTCCTTACCTCCTACATTAAGTCAAGGATTAATTGCTCTCATTCCTAAACCAAAGAAAGACTGCCTCCTACTGGACAACTGGCGACCTATTTCTTTACTGAACAATGACTATAAGATCTTTGCGATGGTACTTGCTAAGAGGCTGAAATCAGTGCTTGACTCTATTATTGATGAAAGTCAGTCGGGGTTTATGCGTAATAGACATATTTCAAATAATGTTAGATTGATATTAGATTTATTAGATTATTCTGAGTTAGTTCATGACGATAGCTTCGTCCTTTTCTTGGACTTCTATAAGGCTTTTGACTCCCTGGAGCATGATTTTATAATGGAAGCCCTAAAAAAGTTTGGTTTTGGTCAGTTCTTTTGTAAATCTGTCCAAACTTTGTACAATAATGGAAATAGTTCTATCAAATTAAGCAATGGCACATCCCCAAGGTTTGATTTAAAGCGGGGAGTACGGCAAGGGTGCCCCCTCTCTGTTTATCTGTTTCTTCTTGCTGCCCAACTTCTTAATCTGCACATTAAACACAGTAACATTAAAGGCATTAGTATCGCTAATAATCATATTTTAATTAGTCAGTTGGCAGATGACACAGCTCTGTTTCTGGCAGATGCATCACAGGTTTCAGTTGCACTTAACTTTATTAGTAGTTTTTCCAAAGCTTCTGGCCTCATTCTTAATCTGAACAAATGTGAACTGCTTCCAGTTCATAATTGCTCTGCTCCTGTAATTGTAACATTCCTGTAAAACTCTCAGTCACTTATCTCGGCTTTCATATCACTAAAGATAGAGAAGCCAGAGGGAAGTTAAACTTTCTTCCCCTCATTGAAAAAACTCAGAAGGTTTTCAACCGATGGACGCAAAGAGATCTTTCTCTAAAAGGCAGAGTTCTGATCACCAAAGCGGAAGGCATTTCTCGTTTAACTTATGCTGCTCAATCGTTACACGTAGATAACTCCTTCTGTAAATCTGTAGACAAGATGTTATTTAATTTTCTCTGGAGAGGAAAAACTCATTACATCCGTAAGTCTGTAGTTTTAAATTCATACAACAAAGGGGGCTTAAATTTTATAGACTTTAGCTCCCTCAATAATACATTTAAAATAAATTGGATCAAGCATTATCTCAAAAACCCTACTTCCATATGGAATTTCATTCCTCATCATGTCTTTTCAAAATTAGGTGGCCTAAAATTTATTCTGCTCTGTAATTACAAAATACAGAAAATTCCAATTAAACTCTCCAACTTTCACCAACAGGTTTTTTTAGCATGGGCAATGCTTTACAAGCACAACTTCTCTCCACAGAGATGTTATATCTGGAACAACTATAACATTGTCTATAAGAACAAGTCTCTTTTTTATGAAAAATGGTTCAACAAAGGTATTATACTAGTCAGTCAGCTCTTTAATGAGAATGGACTGCTATATAGTTATTCAGAATTTCTTTCCAAATATAAAATTCCAATAAGCCCAAAGGAATTTTCTATAGTATTTGATGCTGTGCCCTCAGGTCTTCGTATGTTATTTAAGACGGCTTGTGTCTGTCCTCCGTTATCAGCATCACCTTTGGATCTAACTCTGCTTCCACTAGGCAAAGTCTGTTTTTCTACCTATAGAACATCGAACTCCAAAATTAGATCTTTATTTCAGGCTGACTTGGTCTCTATTTCACCTGCAACTGTTTATTGGGACAAGTTTGGACATAACGTAGACTGGGGAAAAGTCTGGTCCCTGCCACAGAAGTTTCTTTTGACCAACAAAATTAAAGAAATCTCTTTTAAAATTCTACACAGGTTTTACCCCACGAAGGTATGTTTGAGTAGGTTCAAGAAGGATATTGATGTAAAGTGTTCATTTTGCAACGTACACCCTGAAACTACTTCACATTTATTCTGGTCGTGTGAGTTTACTTACAAGTTTTGGAAAGATGTCAATTCATTCTTAACTCACAACATTCTTCCTGATTTCTCCCTGTTCTATAAAAATGTCATTTTTGGTTGTTTTGGAGGCAGTGGTAAAGATAACGATGCACTCTTTCTGATAAACTTGATTTTATTTGTTGCTAAGTTCCATATCCATAAATCTAAACTCTGTAATAAAAAGCCATTTTTTCCTGTGCTAAGAGCAGAACTGGAACAGTATATATCCACCATTTCTTGTGTACAGAACAAAAAAGCAGTTAAAACTCTGAATACTTGTACGCTGTTTAATGTACTTGTTTAATTACTCTTGTGTTTACTTCATTTCTGTTTATTTATTTTGTTTATTTGCCTTTTACTCTCTTGTGTATGTATTACATCTTTTTTATATTATTATTTGCCATATTTGTATGTCTGACTGTTTGATTGAAGGATTTAAATAAAAAAAAAAAAAATAAAAAAAAACCTTGCGGAGGCGTCAAGCATAAACCAACCATTAGAGTTAGAGTGTGACAGTTTAGTGATGACACAAGTCAACCAGTTATTCTCAGGAAGATTTTAGTATTAGCATCCTCCAAAGGGGATTAGTAAGTCTTATATTTACCTAATTTTTGTATTTTTTAATTTTGAAATAAATTTTTTTGGAAAAAGAATCCTTGGATTCGATTCTTAAAGGTCTCGTTTAACCTTTTGAGTTGGGAGCCCCGGACCAGACCTAAAGGAGAGGTAAGCCACCTTGAATTGCTTGTTCCTGTGCTTCAGGACTTGTTTTCAGGTTGTGACCGATTAAGAAAAGGTACCTTAGGTAAGGGAGCTTGTTCCCCCCCCCCCTCCCCCCCCCTTGGTAGCGGGACATCCTAAGGATTATAGGTCATGAGGGTTCGTTGGTTCAAACAGGTTCTTCTTTGCATTAAAAAAGTCTTTGTTTAGCGTGGGAAGGAACCATTTAAAAAGGTGGATTAATTAGATTAATTGATAAATCTATGTTAGCCTGATCAACTAACAGGAATCATTTTCTAGTTACCACCACCCACATTACTGACAGAGGCGCAAATTAATCCTGATAGAACCCAAATAATAGATGCCTGGATGGCCTCCAGTATTAATCTTCCACCCTAGTATTTAAAACAATTAAATAACGGGAGAGTTAAAAGGGAAGAGTGTTATTACAGAAGAACAGGTACGACCATTTCCATTCCAACCTTTAAAATAGAAAACAAGTTCTAATTGAGGAAGTCCAAACCAGGGTCTGGTACAATAATACTCACCGCTGCCTCAACTTCCCTGAACAAGCAGCGTAATCTGAGGATCTAACGGAACCTCTAAAAGGGCACGCTCGCTTCACTCTAAGATATTATTCTAAATATTTCAGGTTTGAATGTACATTTGTGGCTTTGTTTTTAAGTGTTTAACATTACATATTTAGATTTGATTCTAAATATTTATTTTAAGCTTGGATTAAAATGCACTAATTTACAATCAAATTTGGCTAAGAAATTGATTCACTATTTAGATTCAACTCAATATTTTTATATTTTATTTAAATTTAATAACATATGTTGGGGGTTAGTTCTAAATATTTAGTTTCATTTCATTTGAAGTTAAATGTTGTTAAATTCAGTTCAGTTTTAACATAAACTTCTTAGCATGAAACATTATGGGCCTCTGTGTTGAAACATGAGTCTCACCTTAGCATTGAGAGAAGAGTCCAGCAGCACGTTGTTGGGCTTCAGGTCCAAGTGCAGCACAGCAGGTTTTAGACTGTGGAGATAGTTGATACCCAGAGCCACCTGATGGACCAGTCTGAACACCAGTGGCAAGGGAGGAGGTCCTCCTAATGTTTGCTAAGAAAGAGAGAAAATGCATTTATGGATATGCATAATCAACCTATAAGTGATCCATGGTCCAGTTCATTGTATTTTAGCTCATTTTCTTCTCTACTTAATGACTTCATCTATTACCCAACTAAACGTTTTATTTCTAATCACAATACCTGAAGCTATCAAGTTCTAGCCTAGAAATCTAGACCAACCTGCAAAGAAAAATATTTAGCTCTGACTGATCATGGCCAGACTATTTATTCACATATATAGGATGGCTTGCCAGGCTCATAAAGTTTAGTTTGATGTAAAAACCCAATAAACTTTGGCAAAGTCACAAAACAAATCGACACCAATGGACAAATGATGCTGAATCAGAAGATGATACCATAAAACCTCTCTTTGTAATTTTGTCAATAAACAAGATGCTTCTTTTTTTATTTGAAAGAGTTGTTTCATCCCAGCCCTATCTGTACATTTTGGGAGGAATTCTACTTCATGGTAGCCCTTCAGAGATTGTGTAATGATGTTATCCTGTTGTAGCCTGGCAAGCCAGACTAAATAAATGTATTATTTAGTCTGGCCACGCTCCATTGACGGCTCTCGGTTGTGGGGCGGGTTCTACCGTTGTCTTTCAAATGATCTCCACATTCCGCTGGACAATGAATGTGACATACTCTTGTTTCACTCTGTTGCATCATCCCACCCACCAGGCATATAGAGTGCCCTGATTGGCCCACAAAGCGGATAAAGCTCTGTGATTTGTTCACTAAGCAGATAGAGCACTATGATTAGCCCACCATTATGGACCAATCACAGCTCTTTATGTGTTTGAAACCCCTCTAGAGAGCTGTGATTGGCTAGCCAGAGTCCTGGTAGGAGCTGCGGAGGTTCCAATGGAGCATGCCTAGACCAAACTTTGCAAAGCAAGAATTTGGTCTAGTTCACTAGGTACACTAGGGGGACAGGATCACTGTACACAAAAACTACCAGACACAAGAACAGTTTCTTTCCTTCAGCCATTTCTCTCCTGAATCTGTAGATTTTTTTACCATCCTTTTATTATAGGTTTTAATACTTATTCAGTATGCTTATGGATGTGTGTGTGTGTGTGTGTGTGTGTGCGTGCGTGCGTGCGTGCATGTGTGCGTGTGTGTGTATGTATATATGTATATATGTGTGTGTGTAAATGAACATGTGTGTGGGTATACATGTTCTTATGTGTTTTTAGGTATTTTTATTCTCATTTATTGTGGTTGTTGTATGTTTTAGAGAGTGAACATGTACCGAAGCCAAATTCCTTGTAAATGTAATTTTACTTGGCCAGTAAATCTGAAATCTGAAATCTAATCCTGTTGAATACCTGCAGTGAGGCCAGAGAGCCCCTCTCCATGAACTCCATGACTAGCCCGAGCTGCGTTGACGATCCCGAAGAAGGTGATCGACCTTTGAACACTCCGTGGACGTGAATGACAAAGGGGCTGCTTCCCGTACACATCATGTTGATTTCTCTCAGCAAGGCAGAGCTGTTCCTGTGTGTGTTTAATTCTTCCCGTCAGTATGTTTCATCACTTCTAATCCTAAGAAATCACCCTGAGTAACCACTCACCCGTCATCATAATGAAGGAGCTTGATGGCCACGTCGCAGCACCACTGGCGGTGCCTGGCTTTGTAAATCTGTCCAAATCCACCTGAGCCAATCACCTCCCAGCCATCAAGAGCAGAGTCTTTGATCTCCGCAGTGCAGGTGAAAGCCATAGTTCACTGAGAGAATAAATAATAGCATTTACAATTACATATATATGTGTGTGTGTGTGTGTGTGTGTGTGTGTGTGTATGTGTGTGTGTGTGTGTGTGTGTGTGTGTGTGTGTGTGTATGCAGCACAAGATATTTTGGATGTTATTTTCTTATGACAGGAGAATGTTTACCTTTTTATAAACTCCCCTGGTTGTAAGATATTTGGGGGCTTTTGAATATGATCATTATTCTGGCCTAATTTTTATTTATAACACACACACACACACACCATGTTTTCTTAATTTTCCTAAGGAGGTACCAAGAAAAAGCTCTCAAAGCAATACTTTTATGCTAACTTTTAGCATTAATTTGTATACGTAACATAGCTTGGTTAATTTTTTGTACACTTTTCAATAAAGTTTTGAAATAATTGAGTAACTCAATAGTTGGCTAAGCAATGACATAAAACACTTAAGAGTTTACATAGCTCATAAACAGTCTCAATGAGAGGGGTCTAAAGCATGTTCTAGTCAGGTTCTAAATCGGATCACCACTCCTCTACAGAGCCTTCTTTTTATTTACTTCTTTAGCCCCGCCTCCAGACAATCTGACCAATCAGCAGACTGACAGTAACCACATGGTTTCTTGTTAAGAGAAGCCAAACCACAGAAAAAGGCACCAAACCCATGATCGAAATATGAGTTACACATATCTAAAGTTACTTCAATAAGATCCAAGATTTAGTTTCATAAAAAGAAGTCACATATGGAGTCTTTTACTTGATTAAACAATGATAATCTTTACAACAACAAAAAAAAAGCCAAAGAAAAATACATTTTAACTCCTGGTTAGTCTTGAACTGATTCTAGGTTCCAATTTTTTTTTATAAAATTAATAAAAAATTACAATGTAAAATAAGCACTTCTTGTCTGAGATTCATGTAAATATATTGCGCTAACGTAATGGTTAGGCATCTTATGACAAAGCAGTTAATCTTTACCAGGCTGCTGTTCTCACACAGATGACAGGAAACCCAGAGATCGACAAGAAGGAACTAGCAGGAACTAACAGGAAGGTTTATTCATTAATTTTTGTTTGTTTTTTGGGGGTGGTAGATTTTATGTTATATTCTATTATTAGCTGTTTTGTGTAATTTTAAATAATATTTTTGAGTGAAAAGTGTTGGTTTAGAGGAAGAAAACACCTTAAAGAAAAACAATATTTAACACAAAACTCTCACAGTCATCATGTATTAAAGGGGTTTTTCTAAAAGACAGAAAAAAGTGGGGAAGTACTCACCAGCTGGAATTGTCTTTACCTTCTCATTATTCAACCGTGATGAAGGTGGCTCTGGAGTGTAAATCTACAAACGCCTTCTTCTCTCTGCTTTAAATGAAAACAGAAGTGAAACTGTATTGCACCATCCCATCTATACGGAAACTACTTCTGCTTTGAGGTTACACAAGATGACATTTCTATCCTACATTATTCCTTAGTCTGATTTGGTTTACTAGAATGTGCTTTATAATAAACTTTAACATCATTCAACATGTAGTTTAAAGTGTTCTTTCTTACTTAGATTTACTGATTGCTTACATTTTGCTATTTAGATTAGACTTGTGTATATTTTGAACAGGTTTTCTTCTCTTCTTTTTTCTCCTCTAAATATCTTAAATTTTTACTAGAAAATCTTCATTTTCTGGAAATGACAAATGTGCTTTACTCAGGGTATCCGCGGGTCCTTAAAAAGTCTTAAAAAGTCTTAAATTTGCTTTTCCAAATTTAAGGCCTTAAAAATCCTTAAAAATGACAAATAATCCTTAAATACAGTTTCCAAAGGCCTTAAATTACCAAAGACCCAATAAACAGGATTATTTTATTTCTGTAAAATTTTCGTGAATTTCCAGTTAGTGTTCAGCATTTTTTGTGTATGATGTTGGCATAAACGGAACTGTACACATTCAGCTGGTTGTGAAAGGGGGCTATTTTTAGAGCACATTAGCTGGTTAAGCTAGTGGGAGCTTGCGCCATGGGGAAGTGCAAGTTTAATGGTAACTGGATGGCTGATCCCACGTTCGCGGCGTGGTTAGCACCGGTTCCAGGCAAATAGCTGGAAATTATAGTTGACATTAAATTTTAAAAATAGCTTAAATTTGGTCAAAGTGACCTTAAAAAAGGTCTTAAAAAGTCTTAAATGTGACTCCCTTAAATCTGCAGATTCCCTGTTTACTGTGTTTGGACATCAAGGGCGCCAAACACAACAGGAAAGAAGTTTCACAGGAACGACTGAACAACATATAGATGCTGATGAACAAATGTTCAAAATGTATGGGAGTGTTATGAAAAAAGTCACCTGTTTCATCCCACCTAAAAGAAACATCCAACACTTTAGTTATTTTATGCTCAAGAAGAGGTTGTCAATTAAACACCAGACAGTTCTTGCACCTCACTTCTAAATATATCTTCATTTCCATCTGAAACAAGGCCCACCACATTTATATCAAACAATCAGGTTTGCAGTGAAGTGAACAGTCATGAGTGTACAGGCTGTAGGAGAGAGGACTGAGGACACAGCCCTGTGGCACACCTGTACTGAATGCACTGTACTGTCCAACATGGGCGTCGGCAGGGCTGGACTGGGACAAAAATTCAGCCCGGGCATTTTGATTGGAGACCGGCCCATCACCTGGGTTTTTGGAAAAGACATTAAGCCTTACGCTGTTTCTGACACACACCAACGTACACTTTCTTATTGGTAATATTTATGTATAAATCTAATAAACGTAAACCTACACCATCCTTCCTATCCTGGTATTCTAAAAAAGTAGGGTTGGGGGCAAATGATTATTTTTAAAGTGATTATTCTGACGATTATTTTATACAATAGTCAACTATTCTAATGACTATTTAGATTATTAATTTAGCGATTATTTTTCTATTGCACAATTAATAAAAACCAAAAAATCTCAAATAAATTCCTCCAAAAAATTGATAAGTTGTTACTGTAAGAGAATAAACACTACAGGCCTTCCATTTTGTATAACACTGCTTTTATTGTGTTGCGGTTGTTTATATTCTGGTGACGTGTAGATCATGCAGGCTGCTGCCTGAGAGGTGGTTGGAGACGGAGTGTCTCCATGCTGCTTTGTTTTGGTCACTTATGTGCATGAGGCAAGTGGTGTTACGACCCTTCCTGGGGAGTCACGTGTAAAGGGTTAAATTTACCTAAATATTACCTTATTTATTATCTCTTGATGTTATTAGTCCCTATTTCTGTGGTTAATTGACAATAGTTTGCTGAAATGTTTCTCCTATTTTAACTGTAAATCCTTCTAGCTGTTATATTTATAACAAGAAACAGATATTCGGACGGAATATTTTCATGTTTATTCGAATATGATTGTGGAACACACCCAGCATCATAATAAATGAAGTCATATTTATGCCAATTGAAGCCTTTATGGGTGACCAGGACACTGTAATCAATTTTTTGGCAAGGGAAATTATCTTTTTTTGTTGCCATTTTTGGGGTGTTTTTGATGACACAGTAGGCAGTATGAGTACAGTAACATCAACAGATAATACATAAAACCCTTATTTGGTCAATTTTAGCCTCCATGAAAATCTGAGCGATTCAATCACTTTTTGGCAAGTAAAATGCCATTTTAGTTGTCTACAATTAAATCATCAATAAAGAATTTAAAGACATTTTGAGGCGTTTCTTATAGGTAAACAGGAGGGTGTAGTCTCTATTTGGCAAGTGACAATCTTAATTGTATGTGCTGATGTGCTTTTATCTTGTTACTTTTAAATAGAGCAAAGTAATGTATAGATAGTAACCTACACAGTGTCATTAAAGCCAAAGCTTGATCAGTTTAAATACTATTTTTCCAAGTAAAAATGTGCCCCAAACTAGTTAACCGTGGCTCCATGTCAAGTGGACTAAAGAAAGGAAGGGGAAAAAATTAAATCGCTGGAGAATTGTTTATTTACATTTATACAACGTTTACATTCAATACATGGTGCCATTTTACATTGTTTATTTATTTTTTTAGTATCAAGGCTGTAACATAAAGAAAGCCAGTTCTTACCACAAACCATCTTTCAATCGCAAATATTGCAAAAAGGATTAATATATCCTCATTGTGAACGTTTAAGACAAATAGCAACACTTAAAACAACTTCCGAACTGGAAAAACTAATGTGGCAAGGTGAAGAAACAATGCCCGAGCTGGATTCGAGCCCCAGACCTCTGGGGAGAGAGTCATACGCTCTAACCACTCAGCCAAAGGTACATCCCCTAGGCCAGTAGCCAGGGCGCAAGATCAATCGGGACATTGTGACAGGATGCTCACACTGTCACATCTTCCTCCCTCTTTCCACAAGTACGTCCTCGAGCGCCCGCGCAGGGTGCCACAAACACTGCCACACTAATATCCGCGATAAACATCTGTTTAAGTACCGGAAGAGGTTATCTTTGCTTTCTGAATGTCCATATTGCTAGATATGCCGAGTTTTAGGGCGAAATCCTGGGGAATTTTGTCTAGAAATGCAATTACCTAACCGTGCGCGATCCCGCGGTGGCTTATCATTTTTTGGCAGCGAGTCGATTAATGGCACAACACCGGCTCGGGTTTCTCCTCCTCCTCCCTCTTTTCTTCTCCAACCTGTCGCTGGGCTGAGGCTCCATCACTTCCTAAATTGATTTTACTTGAACCTTCACTACCAAACAACTGTGAGATTTTAACACATGTGCCAGCATCAGCCTGAAGGGCCAGTTTCTTTTTTACGCCGGGGACACACCGGCCGCGGAAGCGCCGCGAAGCGCCGAGAAGCGAATCGCTCACGAAATTCGGCCGCTGCTCGCCGCTCCTCAGTTCAGATCAGACGCGCAGGGGCGTCGGACTGGGGGGGGAAAGGGTACCGTTTACCCAGGGCCCACTGCAGGGAGGGGCCCTGAGACAGCTTTGAATAAAAATGTTTTATTGTTGTTGTTTTTTCCCCCCAACTTACTTAATGTCTTAATAAATGTCTCTTTACCTGGACAAAGAGGTTAAGAAACAGAATTTCGCCTTAAAAATAATAACTGAATAATCTCTGAGGCATCTATCACCCCTTAAAAATGTGCAAAGTGGTTTAGTCCACACCAGCGGCCAGGGGCTGCACGGCCGCATGTACAGCTATGAGATATCGCAGATGCCGACAGCCAGAGCTGGAGGCAGGAGAGTCAGTCATGTCTTTTCCCAAGAAAGGGAAATCTGGCTTCCAGAAAAGAAAAGAAAAGAAGGAGAAGGAGAAAAAGTTAATTGAACAGAAGCAAGTATTGACTAGGTTCTTCAAGAAGGAAGGTGAGCAGCAGAACACAGTTTTAGCTGATATTAGCTAGCTCTCAGAAGCTGCATTCATGTTAGGTGTTCAGTGTTCATTTTTGGGAGCTTATGATAGACATTGTCCTCTAAAATATCATAAGCAAAACTTAAAAAAAAGGTCCCCACCCTGGATTGTTAGGGGATTGGAAAGGGCTTGCCAGAAAAAGAAATCACTGTATCTGGATTTTCTAAAAAATCCAACAAAGGAAAAAGAAAAAAGGTATAAGGAATATAAAAACAAATTAACTACAATAATAAGGAAGCAAAAAAAGGAATATTATGATCAGCTTTTCCTAAAACACAAAAATAATATTAAAGGTACATGGAATGTGTTAAATAAATTAATAAGAAATACAAAAGAAGCAGGTATAGATATTCACAATAAAAATGGAAAGAACATTGCAAATGAGTTTAATAAATATTTTGTGAATGTTGGCCCTAATCTAGCTAAAAAGCTGCCAGAAGTTGACATTAACCATGAAATAAATAAAAATAATAATACAATGTTTTTGAGCAGTGTAAGCCAAAGTGATGTGATCCAAGCGGTACATAGTTTCAAAAGTTAAAAGTCCTTAGATTTTCATGGGATGGATATGTCTCTCATCAAGGAGGTTATCCATTGCATTATTGAACCTTTTACTTATATTTGTAATAAATCCTTTTCAAGTGGCACAGTCCCTGAACAAATGAAAATAGCCAGAGTTATTCCTATTTATAAAAGTGGTGATAAATGATTAGCTTGTAACTATAGACCTATCTCTTTACTGCCACAGTTTTCAAAGATACTTGAGAAACTTTTTGTAATTAGATTTGAAGCATTTACCAACAAGTTTGATCTTTTAAATGACCATCAGTATGGGTTTAGGAAGAATCGTTCAACCTCATTAGCAGTTATGGATTTGGTAGAGCAGATTGCAACAGCAGTGGATCAAAAACTTAATGTAGTGGCTGTCTTGATTGACTTGAGTAAGGCATTTGATACAATTGATCACACATACCTGCTCAAGAAATGTGAATACTATGGTCTTCGTGGTAAAACCAATC